GAAATAATCGTAGCACGTGCACTATGTGATTTTAAATATTTCAAATAACTTGTGTGAGTTAAATACTGACAAATACCATCTATTTCTATGAACATTCAATCATATTTTAATTACGTCTAATATCGTATCACCTATAACATTCCGCAGATATTCACTTCAAACCACGCACTTATTGAGAGAAAACTGTGTTGCATTATAGAAGGAAACGTGTTTAATTCGCACTCGGACAGTCGGACAAGCCAATGTCACATACGGAATGTGGGAGGCAGGAAATGGTCACATTCTACTAATTTACGGAGATGTGACAAAGTAGTACACACGCACGTCATACACTGCCTCACAGCATCCAACCTGACTATTTACTTTACTTTGAAGTCTTATTGAGTACTTAATTAATTAATTAGTGCGCTGCATGACAGTGTGGCTTGACTTGTCAATTGTAAGCTCATGTTTCTGGTACACCCTGTATATATCATGCGCCTAACTTTGAAAGACCTTAAAAGCTACTCTAGTTAATTATAAAAGCTATTCTAGTTTAAATATTATAATATAATATTATATTATATTAATATTACAATATAATATGATAAAATAACATTATTACATTATTACAGTGTTATCACTGGTCACTTTTCAAATCGCAACCGACTATTAACCACGTGACAGCATAACCACCAACCACATTGCAAGGCAGCTGCCAGTCACTTACAATACCCGCCATATATAGTATATATACACGATATATGATATTATATCAGACATCATGCTGTACAGTTGCTATACAGATGTCAGGCAAAGTCAGCGAGCACTAGAGAGAGAGAGAGAGAGGGTAGTAGCGCACAGAGCCGAACGTTGCGTGACGTAAGAAAAGTCTTGCAAGCAGGTGTCTAATTAATAAATAACGTAACACGCTGGTCTCGTGACGGTGTCACGTGGGGTCATGTGACGTCACGTGGGGTCATGTGACGTCACAGCGCTGCTGTTACCCACTCCCGCCGCGACATCCTCCGGGAGACAGCTTGTATTTTGTACATATAAATATATTTAATATATATATAGTAGAGTATATATTATACAAATACTGTGATATACATACATCTTTAATATATTGATTTTCCTGGTTGTGCTAGTAGTAGCTATATAGACGGAGTGAAAGTGCATGCTCGAGATGTAAATATTGTGTCTAATACACCAGTAATGGTAGCAGAGAGATGTACAGCTTGTTCTAATACAATGTCACGTGATATACAATGTAACATGTGTACTTATATATATATTATATAGGTCACGTGACCCAATAATCTTTCTTTCTTGACGTCACCTTGACGGTAATGTTTTATCAGTGTCGTGGAATGTCATAACTGTGTGTGTGTGTGTATGTGTGGGTTGGGCGTAAAACGGAATGCTACAGTTAAATTCTTACAGAGGTTGTCGCACAGCTCGGTTAAAAGTGCGTCAAGAGACCCAAATATGGGCATAATTAGAGCTCATATCTTGGAGTGGTCGATAAGATGATGGGATAGACAAGAACTTTATGAGTATTACATCTGTCAGGAGTTGGTTAAACTGTTCACAACTAAATATTTCGTACGCTTCTTAGAAGGGAGTTTAATTTAAGGGCGATTGCTATCTGATTATAATATAATAATGGTAATAACAAGAACTTTTTATTTTATAAACAAGAACTTTTCATTTAATCTCTTTTTCATGGGAGACGTTATATCAATTGTCAGACTACGTTTGCGCTGATACAAAGTATCAACTGTGGGTGCTTAACATTACTTCTATGTCCTAGGAGAACGTACAGGTCAGAGCTCTTATGCTTTTGTAATGAATATTACTCGACGCTCTCGTTTAATAAGGGTGATTGCTAATGCCTAGGCCTATCCCGCATAATGGTTCCAAAACAACCAGAGCATAAAACTTATATTTGTAACCAAGTGGTACTGCAAGATGATGCAGTACACGTGACTGAAAAGTAACACGATTTCTACTTAAAAGTCCTTACATTGCCACATGCTATTTAAATTATAAACCAACTTATTTTGTACTGATACAAATTTACTACAAAAATGGGTAATTGCGGGTACTAAAAGTGGTCTTTTAATTATATCTTAATCAATAGGTCGCGACTAAATTATTGACAGCCAGGTTGCATGGATCAGATGACAGTATTAGCCTTACAAGTAAGGCTTATACTATCAGGATTGGTAGGATTGTCTTGTGCATCATCATCCGCGCCATCATCACGCCAATCTTCTAGTCAAATAAACCCAACAGTTGACGAGATGGATGTTACCCAATCTGGTGATTTGAAACTCTGACAAGATTCCCTGGCTTGACTATAATGGCGGGCAGGGGTGGTGTCTCGTACTACGGTTACTAAACCTTACTATAAAATGTAGAGCGATACAGATGGAGACTTTATAATTACATCCTAAGTATCTAGTCTGCAGTTGTATTTACATGATCTGATGTTGTAATTTGTTGCCGTAAAAATAACTCAACTGATTACTTGTTGTAATTCCGTGTGTTCCGGTTTATTTCATGTTGTTTTTGAGACATCTGTGCAGGAAATTCGAGCTAATTTGAGCTAACTTAACAGAAATTAGTCAAATAGAGGGAACTTAGAACTAGAAAACAAAAATTTTGCTTACTACGTCAATCACACTTATTAACTGCCATAAAGCGGTTATCTATCAGATACTGAATATAATTCACCAGTGATTATCATAATAATATGCTCATATATAGTGCTGCCAAGTACAGGAATAATAATAGGTGGGATTTAACTTAATGTTTAATATTTTGTACCAAGCACTGACTCCCTTCTGACGGTATTTTTACAGCTATTTTTTACTTCTTATCAGCTTTATAATATTAATGTGTCATATTTCCAAGAAGTTTGCAATCAGGTCATATTTGAATTCCACTGCCATTAAATAAACCATACTATATATAATTTCACAGCATCATGAGTGTGCTTTAAACGGCTGAATGACCAAGTTATTCAGATATAATGAGTATGTACTAAATACGTCTTGAGGACACGTTATAGTGAATCAGTATAACACATGATACAAAGCATTCTCCATTTATCTCGGAATTTCGAATTGTAGGAATCTAGCTTACATGACAAACCATAGAGTTTTTACCAAAATTTTCGTAGACAAATCATTTTGACAAAACTTAACACACTTACCGTCACGTGGTATATTACAATAACACATTGCGATGTCAAAAACACGTACACTTGAATATTAGAGAGGCTTTCTAAGGGAAAGCATGGATATGAGACTTGAATGTGCCATAAAGAAACGAGTTTGATTCTATCGAGTCAAGATGCTAATCCTCACAATGGTCTGAGGATGGTGATGTATAAGGCATGAAGCTGCCTTTGTGTAGGGGCCGAGGCTGACTGTGCTATATAGTGCTATATAGTGCTATATAGTGCTATATAGTGCTATAAGCCACAACCATTTGCATTTGTTACTCTACAAGCGGGTTACAGTATGGTTACTATTTTAGATCTCCCTCTATGGTATTATCCTAAAGCTACCGCACAATACCACAACTATGTACTCTTAAACTATTGGACCACAGGGCTATAGGAAGTTAAATTTAATAAAACACTTGAACTCGATTAATTATTTATAAGACCTTAATTTAGGTTAGATCATTAAGAAAAGTGAAAGTTGCGACACTTTTACTTTTGCATATTTGTGTGTGGGATCAGGGGGCTATGTTTGCTCAGTTATCTACACTCACTCAATATGGTTAAAATTGTCCTTATTTACATTCTTCGAATTTCGACTTACGGAATATATTAAATATTGAGAACTAAGAAAGTGGATAATCTGAATACCAATTGTCTTTAAATTTAGGTTCTTCGCCAAATTTTGCAATCGACTGATAAAGGCCATGTTGAATACAAAAAGAAAAGAAAACCACTTCATAATATGATACATGATATATATCAAAACGTAAAACATTACATAAATTAAAATTGGAGAATATTATAATATAATACTGTATCATAATAATACTGCAATTTTTTATTTGAAAGAACGTTAAACAACTAAATTCCCTCAGTCAGTCAGTTAACTACCGTCCAGTCCCAGTAGTCCAGGACAAAGTTCGCCAGAGCCTCGCACCCCAGAGCCTTGCGCCCCGGTAAGAAAGGGTTCAAGTTAGTGTTCAGATAAAAGCTGTAGGGTAGGAGGTTCTGGGGCTGGACGAGGTGGACCGTTTAAGTTCTGCAGCATATTACACAGAAGCACAGCACATAGCGGACACAATGATACGGTAACAAAAAGTTGTCTTAACAACGGTCAAATGTAAAGAAGAAGCCGTCTATTGTTTATGTAATCAGTACGCTTACATCTTTTGAGGAACAGAATTGGTTGTGGAGAAAGAATGGCCTAAATAAAGTTATGAATTTATTTTAAGTCGAATATGTTGACTAACAACATTTTCAATGAATGTTTTGCAGTGACTCTAGCTCTCAGAATTTGAATACCCTGGCAACTCGGGAAATAAACAGGTTTTTTTTGCAAACTGAATTCAAGTTGTCTGATAATTTGAATGCACATTGCACAGTAATTTTAAAACTGCCCAACACTTATTGAGTAAACCGGAAGTTAAATTCTGAAGGCTTCTCCTTTATACAGTGCACTTGTTATCTTTTACCCGATTTAAGTACCAATCTGAATACGAACATTGGTTAATTCAATTAACAAATCAATGAACCTGATTCGGATTTTGCAGAAATATATTCTTTAAATGTTACAGCATTAGAAGAACAGGAGCACCATGGCCATGATTTGATATTTCATTTCGTATAGAAACCGTTTGTATTCAAGACAAACCACCGCTATATAATATATCCCCCTTTAACAATAAACCATAAATGGTCAAACAAGCATTACAATTTTTGTTTGATGTTACTTTGAAGGCATAGTAGGTTCATCTCGTTCAAAATTACAACTGAAACAATTACCTAACTCACTAACTACTAAATCATCTTACATATATCACATACATAAACAACATATATGCAGCTTTAAAGCAAGTTGAATCGCGGCAATTGTTAACATAATTCACAAAATATGACGAGTTAAATAAATCTCAATCAATTAAATTCTAATTTCTATCACCAACAATTTTATAAGATTTACTGTAATGATTATTAAATATAATTTTGAAAATCTATGTTAAAACTATGGTCACTGAATATCGCTATACTCTGCATGCTCCGATTTCATGTGTTCGTTTAAAACTTTCAGATCACACATAGACTTGGAACAAATGTAACATTTAGTGGAGGAGCCCCAATGACGTGAAAGCAGTGATCGATTAACAAATGTTTTTGAACACCTTTGGCAACTGAAAGATGATCTAGCTGAACTCATGGCGCTGGCAACGGCACTTTGTACCGGATTGCTCTCACTAACCTCCTCAACTTTGGTCTTGGAGAGCATTTTGTTCAGAGATTTACTAGACCTGCGCCCCATTCTACTGATAGATAGTTGTTGGTATTTTTGTCGCAGAGAGTTCCGTCTGGATTCGGAGGAATCACCGTCGATCTCCATATCCAAGTCACCCTTGTCAGATCCATCCTCCTCCAGCTCCAATGATGAAAATGACTCGTTGGGTTGTTGCTGGATTGAGCTGGAAGGTGACAAGGCTGGATGCAGCAGACTGTCGGAACTGTCTGTCTTGGTGATCGGGGGATGTCTCGGTGGACTACGAGTCTCTGGTGTGTCCTGAGAGCAGTCCATCTCATCTGGCTCTGTTTTGATGTTTTCTGGATCATTTGAAGACAGGGCAATGGATTGCATCACATGGGTTTGCCAGTATTTCATCAGCTGTTCTGGGGTGTTATATAGTTTTAATGCTGAGGATTGGGAACTGGATGAATCACTCGATGCCGAAGAATATTTTGACAGGATTGAAGGTTTTGATTTGAGAAGATTTTCGTTAACTTGAATCAAGTTGTGGATATAGTTTATTTTACTTCCGTTAGTCTCACGGTTTCCTGAGGCATCACTTGACAGAAAGTCTGAAACAATGGTTGGGACCAGTCTGTGCTGAGACATGTTCATAGGCTCTGCAGGGGCTTCCTTTTCAGCTGCCTGTTCTGCTGATGGAGGTAGAGTAGTTATGTATCTTAACTTGGTATGATGAGCAGTTTCCATGTGTAATTGAAATGTTTTACACGAGATTGAGGTGGTTTCACAGAACACACATTTAAAACTGTCCAGGCAAAGATGTTTGAACAGGAGTTTGAGATTAGGAAATACTCCATTGCAGTATCGACAAATGAGTTTGTAAGGATCAAGTGAGCATTTTTCATTGGTGATATAATGCTGAACAAAACCTTCAAATTCATTGAAAATCTCAGCACAGTCAGCACAAAAATGTTTATTATGAGCCTCTTCTAAGTGATCCTGCAATTTTTCTCTATCCTCCACACTCTTTTGGCACAACATACACGGAAAAGCATGGGCAACTTTATTGTGATCATCATAGTCCTCAGGAGATTCAAACACATTATCACAAAGATTGCACTTGATCTCTTTTGGTTTTACCTTGTGCTCTGCCATGAGATGCTTCCAAACTGCTGCAACATCACTGAAACTTTTGCTACAAATAGAACAACCCATGTGTGGTATGTGGTAGAGATTCATGTGATTTGCAAGTAGACGAGGATGTTGGAACTTCAAGAAACACATCTTACATGTTGTACCACCATCTGGCTGAATTTCACCATGGTAAGATTGCATGTGGGTTGTAAGCTCTTTGTTGGAGGAGAAGGATGATGTGCAAACTGAGCACCAGTGGGATGGCTTGTACACCTCAATAAAATGTACACTCTCCGTGTGCTTTGTTAACTCCCTTTTTGAAAAGAAAGGACGGTGGCAATATCTGCATTGGAAATCCTCCAATGTGTAACTTTCTTTAGGAGGGGTTCGAGGCATGTATGGTAGTGCTAGACTTGGAAGGGAACACTGTCTTGGCAGAACATGGTGAGGGAAGACAGGGTCCGTCATTATCGAGGATGTGACCACAGATGATATCTGGGGATAAGGGATTTAATTGATTATCTATGTAGTGAGAAATAATTTTACAATTTAAATTACTTTTCAGTTCATTTATAGCCAAATTATAAGGTAGCAACTAGATGATTGGAAACTTGCACATATATTTACTTGAAAGAAATAATTTATAATAATGTGCAACATTCATCCTTTCAGGGCATGTAAATATGTATATATATTATACATTATATAATATAACTGCATTGTAGCCAATTCTTTTAAGATTTCATCATCATAATATTAAAACAAACAGTATCAATCTTACCTCAGCTTTTTTTGCATTTATCTGCGCAAAGATGTCAGCAATCTTGTCAACCATAGCTGAATTCATATTGCTTGAGTCGTCTGCTGATGAACTTGTTGTTTTAGGAGTATACTTTTCCATGTTCATCATCTAATATCTAAATGTGTCCATCTACTAGGGATTATAGTTTAAACACCAGTACTATCTGTCTTTTTCACGAAACTAAATATATTGGAATTGAATGTTTTAATGATGCGTTAATGATACATCACCATTCACCAGAATATAAAAATAAACTATCTAAGGCAAATCATCATGTTATCTTTTAATCTAAAATATTAGATAAGCTGCAGTTAGGAGCTACACTCAAGAAGACAAGCTAATTATGCTTTCCGCTACTATATAAGTCGATAAAACACTTTGTTAGCAAGACAATGGCAGTGGACAGGACTATTCGAAAGATGGTATAAATCAAATCAAATCAAAACACAATGTGGCTCTTGCTATGTGTTGGTTCAGCCGAATTAATTATTATGTAATCAAGTTTATTTTTCTCTTTCAGTTAGTTGTCATCCGGCCAAACATTAAGCAACTTATATTGCAGTTCCATTTATCAATTAGTTTATCAAAATATGTCATTGTAATTTTGCATGGCTGAAATGTAACGCTTGATTTATATATAATAATTAATTGAATTTTCAAATAAATAAAAAAATCATCGAAGCAGATAGTATCAAATTAAGCAGATTAACATTGACAGTATAATAATAATAATTCTATTATATACAGTAACATAATTGAAACAATTATGCCTATGACCCCTTATTGTGGGCAGAGTATGTGTCTTTGTTGAAGTGTCCTGGTATAAAACCCATCTGAGTAACTGCATTAAAATAATTTAAGGAGAATTCTCTTCAACTTTAAGACAATAGGGATAAATACTAGGACCTACTAATATCAAAACAAAATGCAGCCACCTAAATAGCAGTATAATGAAAGTATAATGAACCATGCTTGTTAATCCATTTTATAATAAAAATAAGTCACTATTCTGTCAGCAATCTTGTTCATTTCAGAACAATGGGACTGTGAAGATTATTGTCGGGCAACTGCTAAACTTTCAAGGAGTAAGCCCAGGGAAGAGTTGGTCTTTTCGAAATGCTCAAAAACATGAATTGTTGCCGGTAATGAAAAAAACCATAAAATCGATAATGTAAGAGACGTGCATGGTAGCAATTCGCTGAACTCCATATTTAGATCATCGGATAAATAACCATTCGATGATTTACATCTTGATCATAAATCAATAGTTTATGGTACACTCAAATTTACTACAGAGTACCCTTACAAGGTTCAAAATCTTTGAAAATAAGGAATACAAAACCCTCGATCTTGGTGTATCGATCATTCGGTTGAGTTAAATGTGTGACTGTGCAGACCTAATGCTGAATGCATAGAGTAGTCAAACCACTTAAGGACTGTTGGCATAAGCGAAAATTAAACTTAACGGGTGATACTGTCCGTCAGAAAATCTTTGATAACATCGAAAACCTTTCCGTTGACACCAAAAACTTCCAATGTAGACAAAAGTCTAAATTGGGGGACTGTGTCGAAAGCCTAACTAAAATATCAAGAATATCATCGAATGTCTCAAAAAGATTAAATAAAATAGGATAATTTTGTTGATAAATTTCTTAAAAATGATATTTTTAAACATGTCTGATGATGTGATGTCATAAATGTTCCTTTATTTTACTTAACTAGTAACGTATTTGTTCCAAATATTTATTCCAAGATCGACGAGTCCATCCCCGCGCGCGACTTGGTAATATTATAACATATAAACTTACAAATATCACACCTGCAACATTTTCATAAAATATATAATAGTTCACATATTGAGTGTATGAAAACAAAAGCGATCGACGCGACTTTTTCATAATTCTTTAAAATTGAAAATGTTAATTGACGATGCCAACCCTTTCCGACTATGTTGTAGCGCGATGCACTACTGGGTCGCGCGCGCGCATCCAATAATGCTTCTCGCAACCACAGATCGGCGAGATGCGAAGGATTGACATCGTGAATCAACGACTATGTTGATGCGCACAATAATGAATGGACAACGTCGTTCACGTTTGATTGATCATTAATTGACGATGTCAATTCATGGCAGCTCTGCGCGGCACAGTAGCGCATCTAGCCGATCTAGCCAGCTGTGAGAAGCCTCATTGAGTGCGCGGCGCGGCACAGTAACGCATCGCGCTACAAGATTGATCAATAATTTATACAATTAATCCTGGCCGACGGTATTGGGTATATAATAAATTGTTTTTGCAATCGTTAATCAATTAAGCGCCATTATTTATTTTATAAAAATAAGTTAGTATGTCAGGCGCAAAATAAGTTGTCAACTAGATCGATTTGATTTAAAATTTAGTTCAAGTGCGAACAATTGCAATTTACAATACAATGTATAATAGCAACAAATACAGTGCATGAACACAATGCAATTATTATGTATTCGAAAGTATGTAATATAAGGCTTACTGGGCGCCGCCCAACAAGCCTTTGCTTTATAATACCCTCCGGGAATTATATCCACTAAAACGCGTTGACACTGAGAGCTGATAATTTGTTGTAGCTCGATGCACTATATATACTGGGTCGCGCGGCGCATCAAATAATTCTTCTCGCCAATAATAAAATTCTTCGGTAGATCGGCGAGATGCACCACTGTGCCTCACCGAGCTGCGAAGGATTGACATCGTGAATCAAATAATTTGCAAATGGCGCACGTTACATCTCCGCCAATACAAAAGCACATCCAATTTGATACGTATGAAATATTTCTATAACTTATTTGATTCATGATTGTGCACTAAGTTGGCGTTGTCCGACCAAAATTGTACGGGGAATCTTTTAAAATCATTTTCGAGGCACCTCGACAAAAGCTTTTAAAGCTAGTGTGCTTTTTATGTAGAAATACGTCAGTAGCGTTTTTGAGCGTGTACTGTTATTTTCTTTCAAAAGTATAATTCCAAGTGATTTCTATAAGTGCATATATTAACTCTGAATCCATTGCAAAATAATTTATCTCGATTTATGAAGTTTGAAAGAAGTTACAACAATGCGCGCAATTTGGGGAGTGTGCTTTTGGCGGGGATTTACTGGGCCGCGCTCAGCCTGTCATTCCGCCAAATCTATATTCGGTTGTTAATGAACATAATAGCCTGGGGTCCTCAGGTAAGGCGGGGATATAAACTGCGCCTTTGCAGATATATCCCGCAAGGGAAGCAAAGGTATTATCAGCACAAACTCAGACTGGCTGGCGGCAAGTATTAAAACAAATAACACTGGCGTTCTATATATTACACACTTTATTGTATCATGCGCACGTATCGGATTACACCCCTTCCAATCGGAACCGGAAAACATTATAATACATAACACCTTGGCAATTTCATGCCCGCGCGTTCCCTAGCCTCCAGCAAGCTGTCGGGAATTATCGCGCTCATATCAGCACTCGATAGCCAAGGTATCATTTTATTATATTATACGTGACGCGGCGACGCGCTTGTTTCACAAGCGAGAAGCTTTAGGCGGGCGCGCGCTAGTTATACTGCAAGCGAGAGCTAGGCGAAAGCATTGGTTAAAGCAAATTCTGCTGCTCTTAAAGCAATACACGAACAAGCTTAAAGCAAATATAACAATTTGTGCGTTGCTGATATTCAAAAGGCAAGTACAAAGTACTTACATATAAAACAAAGCAAAACAAGTTTTAGCGAAAAAGTAAAATATTTGTTAAGGCTTTAAGATATATGGCAGTTATTTCATTTTTAGTTAATTAATTGTGTTGCTGCGTCGTCAATCGAAGATCTGAGTTATCCTGTAAGGGGATGCTATTTGTAGGTTTATAATCTACCAGGACGCGCGCCAAGTTGAACTTGTCGACGGTCTCAGTACACATTGGGAGGAAACGTTTTTACTAATTAAAATGTAAGCTAAAATTTGTCGATTTATATTTAATTTTTTGGTTTTCTCTGAGTACATTAGTACATAGTATATAGTCCTCCGACAGTCCTTATTGCATATACAGCTTACACATTAACTTATGATCTTTCTATTTTATGTGTTAAAAGGATTGCAGGGTTTCGAATATAAATATGGATTGCTTTTCCAGGGTCTTCTTGAATGCTCGATTGCTATCGTGGCACACCTGTGCATTTATTGTTGTGCTATGCTTTAAAAGTTTAAATAATTATTGTTATTATTACCATTTAATTGGAGTTGCTTGCTCATGTTCTGGAAATCAAGTCACCCGACACATGCGTACTGGGTAGTGACTATCTGCCTCTGTGTCTGCCTGGTTTTGAGCTTGGGCACAGTGACGTAACAAAGGGCCCCGCTGACCTGGCTGTGAGGGGGGCACCATCTTAGGGGGGCACCAATTTGTTGTTCGAATATGGGAAAATTTTGAAAAACTTAACTACGGTACCAGCAAAACTGTGCGTTTTGCTGTAGAAACACACTTTTTTAGAGATTTAACAGGCGTATCCTCTAAAATCATCTAATTTGTCCAATTTTAGGGAGAAAAGCCAAAAGGGGAGAGGGTTCCAACAGGGGGCACTTTTCAGAGGGGGGCGCCAACAGGCAAAGTTACGCCACTGCCCCGAATTCGGTAACCCGATTGTCAAAAAAGCTATAACAGACAACCCGTTTCCTTTGCACTATGAAGTCAACAGTGACGTGTTGTATAATCCGTATATTTTGCAATGCGGCACTTGTGTGCTCAGAAATAGGTTATTATAGAACGATATTTATAGTACACTACAATATAGATGTAGTAAAAAGGTATCCCAAGAAGATTATTGATCTTTTGGCAGTGCTAATTTAACCATCAATCACGGTTATCCGATCATTTGGTTGAGTCAGCCAAGGAGACATTACACAAATGTGTAACTGTGCATAGATTTGACGAATCCTTAGCTGTCTACCTAGACTGGGTGACACTGGGATTTAAATCCGGACCTTCTGCACAGAACGCAGAAACTCTACCCACAAGCTAAAATAGTTTTTAATTTTGGAAGAATAACAACGATTTAAAGAATGAAATTGGAATGGTATTTTTTTTATTTCAATGATTTAAATTTGCACCTTTTGAACCTTCTGGTAATGTGAGGAGGTGCACAATACCAGGTATTGACCTAGTAATTATTTTTCTGATTTTAAGAAGACACTGCGTTAATTTCGCATCTGCAAATTGACAGTTACATTGTCGGCTTTAGAAATAAAACTGTTACATTTTTCAGTTTGTATGTCAACAAACCATGAACTTGTTTGTACTGGTATTTTGCACCAACTTCGGAATTCAAGCGGTTTTCGGGATATTGGCTTTACTTCTCAATACAGAGATATTCTTTGACTTTGTTGGCTCCTTAACCTTCATCTCATGCTCCATACTATGTCTGATGTTTGATGAAACACCTGAAGTCTCCACTTCCATAAAGGAAATCAAAGTGATTCAAATGGTTTGTGTTTGCCTTTGGGCTGGAAAGCTTGGGAGTTTCCTTCTTTACAGAGTTTTAAAGAGTGATGGAGACAAACGCTTTGTGGAGATAAAGAAATCTAAGGTCAGGTTCTTCAGAGTTTGGATGATTCAAGGGGCATGGGTTTATCTCAACATGGTCCCATCTCTTTTTGTCTTCACTGCGAAGAAGGAAAATCCAAGATTAGCTCTTGTAAGTTTGGCTGGATGGGCTCTCTATGCTTTTGGTTTGATTTTCGAGACCGTTGCAGATTACCAAAAAACGATGTTTCGTTCTAAAGAGGAAAATAAGGAAAAGTTCATCACAACTGGTTTATGGAGTATCTCTCGTCATCCAAACTACTTTGGGGAAATTCTGCTCTGGTATGGGCTCTTCATTGCTGCAGTACCCTATTTCACCTCTCCTTTCAACTACCTCTCGATCCTCTGTCCTACTCTTACTGCTCTACTGATAGTCAAGATCTCTGGAGTACCGATGTTGGAAAAGTCTGGATTGAAGAAATGGGGAGATGATCCTAAATATATTGAGTATCTGAATACCACAAGTAGCATCATCCCTTGCTTGGGCGGGAATAACAAACACAAGACTGCTTGATTACAGTCATTATTTAATTAATCAAATCTAATGTAAGCTAATCTTAATCTGGGTTCGAAAATCGACTCAACTGATCATTAATACATTAATTTGCATTGATTCTCGCTTATTATTTTATATTTTTTATGTTATATTCATATGTCACTTTTCGCTAATCACTATCACATATGTCGGGGTAAGTGGGTTGGCTTTTTCTAGGGTCACTTATGATTGCCGAGCCTTTGTACCAACATACCCAGTTCCTAACTTGTGCCGATGCTTTACAGTTTATTTCTTTTTATATTTAGCAAATATGTATTATCTGAGGAATAATTACAGTTTCGATGGTTTATATAGATTTTGCCAGATTTCAATCCATAAGAACTTAAATTGCATATTTACTGGTAGAACCGGCAATACACTCACGGGATGCATAATTTGGTTGTTTTTGATGAATGGTTTTTTGATAGTTTTAGTAAACCCTGGAATTGTAAACCCAGGGCCGTCTCCCATAGGTGTTAGAGTTGGGAATGGTAATAAATTGAATGTTTACTTTCAGAATGTTCAAGGTCTCATCCCTTTTGGTGAACTGAACAATGCCCATCCAATGATTGATACCACTAAATGTCTTGAAGTGTCGACTTATCTTAATGAGGCTAAGATAGATATTGCAATACTTAACGAAACCTGGTTTAAGAGTTCTATTGCTGATAGTGAATTTCTGCACCCTGACAGATATAAGATATTTCGCTCTGATAGATCGAAGAAAACTCATCCACCAGATCCTTCTAATCCAACCCGGTTTAGGAGGAATGGTGGAGGGGTCATGATTGCAGTGAGAGCAGACCTTGATCTAACTTCAAAGGAAGTTCATCTCAAGTATGGTGCAGAAATTCTTGCTGTGGAATTTAAGACATCCACTGGAATTAAGTTTGTTGTATGCACATGTTATCGTGTTGGTACACTGGGCTCCGCAAATCATGAAAAAATTGTTGAGTCTTTGAAAACTCTTCTCAGAAGAAGAGGACTGAGTAAAGTCTTCATACTAGGAGATTTTAACCTGACCGGAGTTTCCTGGTCTACCCTGGCCAGCTCCTGTCCTATTGAGCAATCTTTTGTTGAATCTTTTGTTGATCTAGGCCTTCAACAATGTGTGTTAACACCTACCCACTGCAAAGGCAAAACACTTGACCTATTGCTCACAAACTCTGTGTCAAATATTAATGACCTAATGGTAGGTGAGAGAGATAGTGCTTGCAAGTCTGACCACTTCCCCATCAATTTTAAGATCAACGTTAAAGTTGGTAGGAAGAAGCCAGTCAGGCGTATGTGCTATAACTTTAAGACTGTGAACTGGGAGAGGCTAAACCATGAACTCCGACACACGAATTGGGATGCATTGCTCAATGGCACAGAACCTGAAATTGGATGGAAAAAATTTAAGGACAAACTTTTTAATGTCACAGATAAATTTGTTAAAAAATGCTCTGTCAAGACTGATGGCCAAGATCCATGGTTTGACTCGGAGTGTTATGATGCATGGCGTAAGAAAGTGAGATTACATAAAGAAAGGCATAAAAGTGATAGAGCTGAAATTGCATTCTCCCTTGCTAGGAAAAATTTCAAAAATGTGGTTGCTCAAAAAATGAGGGAAACATTAAATGAATCTGATGATAGTGCTTTAATAACAAAAAAATTTTGGTCCTATGTCAAATCGAAGACAGCTAGTCAGCGGATCCCTGAGTTTGTAAGCCACAAAGGCACTGTCCGCAACTGCCCTGAAGACCAGGCCAACCTATTTAATGACTTTTTCTTCGAGCAGTTCTCTGAGGCATCAACTTATGACATAGATATAGATTACTCTAATGATTGGCGCTTTGATATTGAATTTGACCACAGAAGGGTTCGCAAAATCCTTTCCAATATTAATGCTAATAAAGCTTATGGACCTGATGGTATCCATGGGAAACTTTTGAAAAACTGTGCGGTTGGGCTCGCATACCCTATATCAATACTTTTTCATTCATGCTACAACATTGGGACACTACCAAGGGAGTGGAAACTGGGGCACATTATACCAATATTCAAGAAAGGGGATAAACATGAGGTTTCAAATTATAGGCCAATTTCTCTTACATGCTTAATCACAAAAGTTCTTGAACGCATAATAAGAGATGAGTTATTGGCACTTACTAATGGCATGATCAATGACAAACAGCATGGTTTCCGAGCTGAGAGATCTTGTGCAACTAATCTTGTAGGACTGTGCGACAGCCTAGCGCTCTCACTGAATGAAAATATGAGAACAGATGTAGTCTACTTTGATTTTGCCAAAGCATTTGACTCGGTTAACCATGATCTTATATTATTTAAGCTAAAGAGCAAATTTGGTATTGATGGGAGGCTACTGAAATTCATCACTGATTATCTAAGAGACAGGCAACAACAGGTCTTGATAAGTGGCAAGTTTTCTTCTATGAGAAACGCCCAGTCTGGTGTACCTCAAGGGTCAATTTTGGGACCATTGCTGTTCATTATGTTCATTGATGATATATCAGTGGGGATTTCACCAGGCACACAACTGTCACTGTATGCCGATGATACTAAAATTTGGCGTAAGATTGTTTCGGAGTCTGATATCCTGCGACTGCAGAAGGACATTGATTATCTCCATGACTGGTCACTTTCTAATAAAATGAGATTTCATCCCGACAAATGTAAGGTCCTCACCGTCGCAGGAAGGATATCCGAAACAGTTTCCCTCCTTAGTGTCCTACCACTCTTTAACTTTGTATACTCCATGGGAAGAATCACACTTGACTATGTTGATCATGAAAAGGATCTGGGTGTAATTGTGACATCAAATCTCGATTGGAAAGATCAGTGCTCCAAAGTCCTTTCTAAGGCAAACCAAAAATTAGGCATGGCGAGAAGAAATTGTTATTTTGTCCAAGACGTAAATCGTCGTAGAGTACTGTATCTCACTTTAGTGAGGAGCCTATTTGAGCATTGCTCGGTTATATGGAGACCAGTCACAAAATCCCAGATAAGCAAGCTGGAGGGCCTCCAAAAGCGTGCTATTAAGTGGATTCTTCACGAGGAGTATATGAGTTATCCACCATCCACATACATTCAAAAATGCAGACAGCTGAAGATTATGCCGATTGAAGACCGCTTTGACTTCTTGGATCTCATCTTCTTCTTTAAAATTGTGAAGCAACATATACCTGTCACTTTACCCTCATATTTGCAACCATTTCAAGGCCACTCAAGGCTCAGAAATAGTCACATGGGCTCTCTATGTTTTGTAAGCTCTATCTCACCTCGAGCAAGCTCCAACGCTTTTGCCAAGAATTTCTTCTATAGGACCCACACTAAGTGGAATCACATTCCTCTAGATATCCGTGAGATAGAGAGTATCACTGATTTTAAAAGTAAACTTTCCACTTACATGTGGGGGAAAATTATCCCGGTGGATTCGGACTCTGAACTTGACTATTCAATAGAAACAAATCCGTAAAATAGTTTATTTAAGATTATCTATTCTTGCTGTCTGCATTCACATATTTCTCAATTTCATCTCACAGCACAATATTTTATGAATTGATTGAATGGGTGTGTGATTTTGTTTAAAGTAACTTATTACAATTTTATAAGGGCCCATGCTTGTGCAGGAGCTGCATTTGCACTCAATATCTGTGTTTTGGTGACCCTCAGGTCCTTTGGTTACATACATTTTGTCCGAGACAATTTCAACTTTGACAATCCATGCTTAGAGGACAATATTATATTTAACTAATTCATTGTGTAAACTTGTATGTAATTGACTGATTTGAAAGATTTCAATAAAAAAAAGACTACCTAGAAAGAACAAATAAGTATTGATTTTCATGCCTTGATTATGCTTCGCGATTAATAAATCTATAAATGCTTAGTTATTAAATTGTTAAATCAAATATTGAAGCTCTTAATTATTATTTATTAGTGGGATTAGTACATCAAAATTAAGATATATTCAAGGTTTTCATCTAGAAGTGAAACTATATTTTATTTCATAGCAATCCAACAACAGCTACAGATATGTAACTCTTTCAGCTCTTTGGTGATCCTTTATAGTTTATACTTGATGACCCTTTGTACTCTTATTAGTGAGAAATTTGCTGTTTACATTGCACAATTCATTCTTTATGCTATTTTAGTTTGATTTCAATATGTATGTTCTATTCAGGTATTCAGTTTGAAACACCGATTCAATTTGAATGACAGATTCAGTCTAAAACAAAGATTTAAATACAGATTCAATTACGTGCATGTTTCTTTTAGTAGCTTTTTAATGATTATTGTTCGATTTTCTATAGTTAAATGTAATTGATTTATGCTCTTATAGTTATACCATGTCTTTTTTATTCAAACCATAATCGTATTACTCTTGTAGTATGCAGATGTACATGTTTGACTGCATCTCTTTGATTTGAAAATATTGAGTCACATTATAAATTTAAAAATACACTGTCATAGCCCTCTCATGCTTCCTTGTCTCTAACGTCATTTAAAATATCAAGTGCACTATAATTTAATAAATCAATTACTTATTACCTAGGTAAAAGGTACAACTATGACAAAGCCTTGAAAGAAAGAGTATAAAAAGCCTGATGGTATGGCTGGACTAAGTTTGTTCCTCGTAACCCTGATCATTGACTTTGGCTTGCAATTTGTGTTTGGTGTGCTGTCCATCGTGTTAAAGTCAGAAAAGTTCTACGATTTGATTGGCGGATTAACTCACATCCTCTGTTCTATAGTTGGTGTGTTCTATGACTGGAATGTAGCTGTGAAAATATCTTTTGAGGCAAAGCTTATACAAGCACTGTGTATTTGTTGTTGGGCTGGCAAGTTGGGTAGTTTCTTACTCTACAGGGTGATAAAAGCAGGGGGTGATAAAAGATTTGATAGTGTAAGGAAATCCCCAATTAAGCTCCTGATAGCATGGTTTCTCCAAGGACTGTGGGTCTACATGAACATCCTTCCTTCACTTTTCATGTGGGCAACAACCAAGAAAGACATGACTTTCGTAAGCGTTATCGGTTGGGTTGTTTTCCTCTTTGGTCTCCTGTTCGAAACTGTTGCTGACTACCAGAAAACAGTATTCCGCAACAACCCAGCCAACAAAGGCAGGTTCATAACGTCAGGTCTGTGGGGAATATCCCGGCACCCCAACTACTTTGGTGAGATAGTGCTATGGTACGGGTTATCCATATCTGCTGCACCCTACTTCAGCTCACAATGGGCCTACTTCACCCTCCTCTGCCCCACTGCAACTGCTCTACAGATCTGTTTCATGACAGGTATTCCTCTGCTAGAGAAGAGTGGGATGGAGCACTGGGGTAACGAGCCACAGTATGCGCACTACGTGCACAACACGGGAGTGTTAGTGCCCTGGCTGGTGTGTTGTGAGTGCACGCCGCTGCCTAATAAGGAGCTGCTGGTGGATGAGGAGGAGATACCTCAGCCTAGTAGTGGGGTAAAGGAGGTGGATATGGTGGATGTTGATCTGGGCGAGGAGAATGGTGAGGTTTAGTTTGGTAGTTTGTCACGTGTTGCTGTACTTAGTATTACCTGAGTAGGATGTCTTGAATATTAACATTTGAAACAGTTGCTTTATCGGAATTGCAACTGGCGACTTTAATGGCTGGATGTGCTAGTTAGACTATATCATCGACGCATTGAGACTCTCTGAATTATACCCATAAATCTATTGAGCTACTGCTAATCATTCTATTACGCCATACCAGTTGAATATCATCTTATTGATAACTAATAAAGTGAGAACACGTCATCCTTGTAAACGATTGTCATTCAGAAACTGCATAATATTATATTTTACATAATATTATATTTTACATAATATTTTGTGTATAAAACAGGTCAGCTCGGTGAATGTAGTTTAATTGTCTAATATGTGTGTATAGTAGGTTTAGTATCTTTGTAGAATGTAGAATTTAGAATGTAGAATCAGGGTTTCGTTTACTTTACCTATAGTGTTGATTTTGTGAGTTTTCTGAATATTTTAATAGTTTATTATAGTTGGTTTTAGAAGTCTTTTCTTTTTTTTGAGTATCTATTGTATATTTATAAATTAATAAAGTATTTTCTTTAATTTATATTTCACTAGTCAAATGTTATTAATATGTATATCGTTTTTATTATCGCAGAGGAATTTATTATGGGTTTCTTTTCTTTAATTTTTGCACGAAAATTGTATTTCTAATTTGAATATAAACTGTAGAGTGTTGTATACAGACTTATTTGTTTTTCTGACCCGATCCAAGTTTCGAATATTATCACGATACTTTGCGTTTCACTGCCATGATAATAAACTAACAAATGTAAGCAATAAAATTGTGCTTGACAGACAAACTAAAAATGTAGATTTCAAAGTGCGTTTCTTCGCATTGCTCTGAATTTTAAAAAGACAGGAGTTATAAGATAATGCAATGTTTGGAGATGAATTTATTCATCTATTTGCTGTAACATTTACTATAGAACCTTACTAATATAGGCAACTGAGGGAGACATCTAGAAAAGCTAATATGATGACGGCAGAAGATGAAAATGAACCTACAGTAAGTAGTATCTTTGTTTGATTAAAGATAGAAAGATAGAAAGTTGATAAATTAATTATCAATTCATCTGCTCAAATATAAGATTCGTTGGATTGACTCTTATTGTGCAGCACAATGTACGATAATAATAATATAGTTTGATTTGGTAACTAATAATACCGAAGTTGATATATTAGTTCAATAATCTTACGAGCGAGTTACTGTTATGTTGGCACTTCAAGGGATTGACATCATTGCATAATAGTACATCTGATTAGAAACCCAAAAGTGTGATTAGTGAAAATAATGACAATGCTACTAACACAACTGCAGTGGTACAGTAAAACCACGATTTACCGCAAACCCCGATTTACCGTGGATGTTTCCTTTCCCCCAAACTCCGCGGTAAATCGGGATTTTACTGTATACTAGTGTAAAATATACTAAATTTTCAACCCTGGTATTGTACTTATATTTTCTACACCGCGCTACTGTTCAACATAAAGACCAGGTGCCAATAAAGAGAATCAATCTCCACAACCTCACTGTACCTATAGCATTCCATCAAAGAATCTGCGTGTTCCTGTTAGAATGCTATGCTCAATATATCACCATGATATTGTATCAGATTACTATGATTCCTGTGTGGGCGTCTGCTTAAAGCCTGGAGTCTGTACAGCTAATGTTCAACATGTGCAGATTTCTGTGCTCTCACGGAACTATAATTTTCCGCTCTGATTTTCAGCTGAGTGGACTGAGAGTGTGTTACATCTCTGAGAGGCTGTACTTTTGATTGCTTGTTTTTATTCGCCACGTTCGATTCGGTTTTAATCAAATTCCGCCAATGTTTTTGCCTAAAATATGATAAAAGTAAAACATTACCGCTATTATTATCAGTGCCTCTTGGAAAGGCGCAGTGGTTATCCTAATATGGAATAATTGGGACGTTTCACACACACACTACATTTATAACACAATATATATTATATATATATGTGACCAGCATGGCAGCTGCGGGTGTATTGAGGACACTAACCTGCGAACTTTTGTGCTATAATTTTGTGTAATATATAAGATAAAGATGCTCTTTTGTTATTCCGCCCTTTATTAGTTTGTTTATTGAATTCGTGGAATTCGAATGTTTGTGTCGGTGTTTGCTTTACCTGTGTGCTCTCGTGTTCCGACAACTCTTATGGCGTTATCCGCTGCTTGTAGTGCTAATATTTCACACCATATTATCTGATATATTCATATATACAGCGAAATCTAATTTTGATTTCACATGATTGTCCGATCGAAGTAATGTGCACAGTAATCTCAGACTCAAAATGATCAGTTTTCCAGTACTATTTTTCATTACTGTCCAGGCTGTCTTACATTTACATTCAGCGTTTAGTCTGCTCTTATTTCAAGTTGTTTATAAAGACAAGCTTTCAGCCGCTCACCAGTTTGTAACCCCTATAAACACCTTACAAACACTACATCTACACACACAGATTGCAAATATCTAAACATTGCAGTAACAAATAAGACATGTATGAGTCCGGTTGGAGCGGCGGGTGAGAAGGGAACTGTTGAAGACCCTCAGACGGGAACACACCCTCAGAGAGGAGGTGTGATGGCAGAGGAGCTGTCAACCTGGCAGGAGGTCTATCATTGCTGGTCTGTGTATATCAGACCCTACGGAGATGGGTACTCGAGGGAGAGCACTCCATTTGGAAGGATTGATTACCTCCTCAACAATTTCACTGTTCTGTGGGTAGGTCTACTGAAGGACACTTTGTTGTCATTAGAAAAGTGGCAATAAGAATGACAGAGTGTTGTCTTGTAGGCATTGTTAACATTCCCAAACACTCTCTTAATATAAACCTCCAACAACTGCTTGTATATGTGTAGCTTTAACCCCGTGAGGTTCGAAACATTATCATTGTCTCCCCGAGATGTTGTTCGTATTTGTAAGAATACAATTTAAATTTCACACTACGTTTTTATTATATTGCTACTTCCACGGTACATCTTGATTCTTGAGTAATGAACCGAATCAGGTAATTTTAGAAACATGTTCTCATAATTAAGGTTTTAACTTTAAAGCTTTAAGAGTTTAATTCTGTCGATCTGGACTCTGGTGGGGAGGTGAAACATGTTTTTTCCTGACAGATATTACCTTTTCAGCTTCAAGCCTCAACTAATCAGATCCCATGATCAATGTCACGGTTAATGCTAATACCAGAGTCCAGAATACACATCTGCACACAATCTTCAAACTAAAGTCCGTACCTAACTAGGAAATTAAGAAACTTTCTTTTCAGTCGATTTCTCCAAAATATACAAGTTATAGAGAATATAAGACTCTGTTTTCCATTGTGAATTTTCCCGCACATTTGAACACCTGTGTGTTAAAGCCATTAGCCCAAATAAAGTAATAAGAAGTACATACAACCTCGACATTCGACAGTAGTTACACAATGCTCTCAATACAAATTGTATTGTTATCTTGGCATTGTAAAGGATCTACAAGGTTGGATCTGAGCCAGAAGCCTCTTTTTGTGCGACTCTCTCTCTCTCTCTCTCTCTCTCTCTCTCTCTCTCTCTCTCTCTCTCTCTCTCTCTCTCTCTCTCTCTCTCTCTCTCTCTCTCTCTCTCTCTCTCTCTCTTTCTCCCTCTCTCTCTCTCTCTCTCTCTCTCTCTCTCTCTCTCTCTCTCTCTCTCCCCTTTCTCTCTCTCTCTCTCTCTCTCTCTCTCTCTCTCTCTCTCTCTCTCTCTCTCTCTCTCTCTCTCTCTCTCTCTCTGATATGAATACAATAGATAAAATAATCTAACAAAATCTTACTGGCACATATAGCCTGACTATTGTAGAAAGCGAAGCTGCTAATTCAGACTATTTAACTGGGATAACAGTGACTCCACAATTAGTCCTTGTACAGCACAAGAAAAGCCTCAATAATGATCTTCTCAATATTGGAGGGAGGCGACTATTATACTCCACACCGTACTATACCTTACTACTCATTGCTCTTCAGCTCAGTTGATAAATTGTGTTGTGGTTGAGATTAAAATTAAAATGTCTATTGTGAACATTTGGCTGTGTCGTAATTAATTCCACTGTTTTCACAGTGTTTTAACCTTGTGATATAACCACTATTTGGGACATTTGACGTGGTATTTCCGGTCGAGATTTGCAGTTTGGAACAGTTTGAGCCATGTCAACGTGTTTATTAAGTGTGGTGATAGACATGGAAGGAGAAGGTCCTACACTTTATCATGTGTTGTGTCTGAATCCTGCTCTGTATCCAGAACCTTGTAGTTACCATGATGGACTCTCCCTTCCTCCCTCCCCTCGCTATCCTAGCTTATCTTATCCTGCTCCCCAGCGTAGCTTCACTTCTCCGACTCGCAGTGGAGAGGATGAGGAGGATGATGTATTCGCGTCAGATATTCAGTCAACTTTGGAGAAACCCTCCAATTTTAGTCCCCAGGTCGGCAGGAAATTTAAAGAAGAGGAAAATGAGCTTCAGATGAAGTTGTTACACAGACGAGCCTTAATGGAGCAAACCAGTGAGGTTAAAATGGAACCAGTCAGTGGAACCATAGTGGATGAGTTTGATTCAGATAATACGAGCCAATTTTCCGGATTTTTTAGTCCGCCGTACTCAAACAGTAATCTGATACCAGCTATAAAAGTTACACCAAGCGACTCTGGCGTCATTTCACCCCCCATAACCCAACCTCAAAATGTGGAGTTTATTTTTGAGAGCGTGCTAGAGTATTGGAAATCTTTTGAGTACGTTAAGGTTGGTTCATGCGAGCATGAACAAATCATTGCTGAGTCAATAAGTTATACTTAGTAGTGTGACCATGGGTCTCTTACGAAGTGTTAGATGTTGACTCGATAAATTTATTAGCATAATAGAATAATTAGCTAATTAGGGTAATAATTATCAGATAATTAAAACTTTTATTCATTTCAGAGGGAACACGCAAGTACGGTTAGTCTAAGCGACGAGAACGACGGTAGACTTACCGTCAGCATCAGTGATGCTGTCAGTGAACTTGAAACTGTCAAGTTTACCATCCAAACTAAGGTAAGCCTTCTGTCAGTGAACTTTAAACTGTTAAGTTTACCATCCCAACTAGAGTGTGTTACCTGAAAATTGATTTTAAATGATGAAAATCATAGGGTCATTCAATGTTTAGCTTCAACATGTACATCGAGCAGATACTCCGACGATGATCCATCTATATTCTATATATAATACTATAATAATCCTTCTATTTATAATAATCTATATAGGGGGGGGGGGGGGGGGGGGCCAACGCCCTAAAAGGCCCTAGACACATCGAAAATCCGAAAAGGGCCCTAGAAATCGGGGCCTTTTAGGGCCTTTTGACCCTGACCACTAATTGATAGTGTTTATGGACCACAATCTCCGTGTAAATACACTCAAATAAACATAAAAGTACTGTGCAAGTAGTTAGATAATATCATTAAAGCACTTAGCATATATAAAACTTGATGAAATTTAAGTTAATTCTAGGGCCCCAAAAGGCCCTACACATATGGAAAATCCAAAAAGGGCCCTAGAAATCGGGGCTTTTTGGAGCCTTTTGGGGCCTTTTGACCCTGACCACTATTTGATAGTGTTTATGGACCATAATCTCCATGTAAATACACTCAAATAAACATAAAAGTACTGTGCAAGTAGTTAGATAATATCATTAAAGCACTTCGCATATATCAAACTTGATGAAATTGAAGTTAATTCTAGGGCCCCAAAAGGCCCTAGACGCATCGAAAATCCAAAAAGCGCCCTAGAAATCGGGGCCTTTTGGGGCGTTGGCCCCCCCCCCCCCCCCCCCCTATATAATAATAATCTATATCTCTATAATCTATATAATAATAATCTATATAATAATCCTCACATAATAGCTAAAGTGAGAGCTCGACCTACGTCAGAGTTGCAAATATATTAAAAAATCTATTATATTTTTATAGTTTTTGTTCCTCAACATCTTTTTGTGGCCAACGCCTCCAGGATGAAGGTGTCGCCACTGTCCATATCGAACAGATTTTGTATGATAATGCGTATGGAAACGGTTCCCCTGGTGCCCCATCTTATTGAAATGTGGATTCTTTATATTCGGAAGTAGACATTCATATCTTTAATTTAAAAGCAGTTTAATTTCCAGTTGCAAATTATCAGTGACGAAAGTTCAGGGGGAGTTCACCTGAGCTTCTGGAAATAGTTCTTAACTTCCTTCTGTGTAACCTGTCTGAGAACGCAATAGAGCAATAGATAATCCCCAAACTATTTCAGACTGCGTTACCGTCCTTCTCACAGCACCAGATGTCAGTGATACGGTGTCACGAGGAATTCATCTGGCTCCATGACATGCTCAGTGAGAATCCAGAATACGCTGGATACATTGTAAGTTGGAAAAGTTCTTACAATTTTTGTTAGAATTTTAGACATGTTTTTTCATCTGACCTATGTTTTATTCTTTCATATGTTGTGAAAACGTGATTAATTTGATGCTTGTTTTTACTATGATAATGACGAAGTTCCGTTAATGAACCTTATTTCCATGGTTGTTTTACAGTATGTACACTGTTCACTGCACTTGCACTTGTTAACACCCTTTACTTTAGATTCCTCCAGCACCCCCAAAGCCTGATTTCGAGGAGGCACGGGACAAACTGACCAGAGTAACAGCTGGTAAGTGATATGTAATAAAAATATGATATGCCGGGCTGGGATCCATTACGTTGGCTAAAAAAAGCCTAAGATTTTGGTTCTTATGGTATTAAAACTTTGCTCGGAAATATTTCTTCTGCACACCCCTTATTATTACCATCGCGATAAAACGATTTGATCACATGACCGATGTGTTCCATTCAAGAACCGCTAAATTTCACAAATCATATTTCTCATTATTTTTGGTAGATTTGCCCCTCATTGACACTTCTTTCACGTTTGAATATCAACTGCCCAATGTATGGAAATTGTTATGAACGTCATTAAGAAGTTAATGATCTTATCCTAACTACCCGCCCACATCATTTTGTTACTGAACCAGTTGGTTTTATTGTTATCATGGTAACTATAGTCTATAACTAATTCTAAGAGTCTTTATCTAAAATTTCAATTTAGGAGAGAGTAGAGCATGGTCCATTGGTCCCGGCCCATGCAAAAACTTTAGTCTTATTCGCATTATAAAAAGAGAGGCTTTTAATTGTGTGAGCAAAATGAGTAACAATTCGAGAAAGTGTTCAAAAATTATTTTGCTGCTCAGTATGCAAAACAACCGATCAATATATTATGTATGATGATGCCACTAATCTCAGTGACGTTTGATAGGAAGTTGATTGAATCGGAAATTAGCTTGCAATATTTTGCAGCTTGTAACAAACAATATATTTCCAACTCACGTTACAAGTCTTATCAAACTCGTGTACTCTCTGGTCCGCTTCTCAAATTACAAGGCAGTATCGAGTTCATATTACTGTTTACTTCTATTATACACAACCTTACGGAATTGCCTAATTCTATTTAATGAATTAGGTAGCCACAGACATGATTCTTAGCATGGTCCGGGCTTTGTTCTTGTAAATGGTTTTATTATGGAGGTTCCTTGCGAAGGAGTATTTCTCATTTCGTAAATAGGTAGCTTTACCTTGCTGAGGGTATTAATATTGTGTGTTATATTATAATGTTTCCTTGCTGGTACACGGAAAATGTAAGCTTGGCTCTGATACAATTGTTCTGTTACATGTACGGAACGCGCGACACTCTGTCACGCCGAATCTGTGAAATTGGATATTAGTGCGCGCACGTGCGTAAACGTAGCGCGCCTAGCCGAGCGCTAATATAATCTAGTATAGCATCAATAATTGATGTTCGTGCTTTCGAATAGCTTTGGGAATGGAATGCTCAATGCTCCCCAACTTCTTATCACAATATATCATACTTGATACATAGCACATTCCACAGAAAATATTCAGAAGAATGAAATACTGTAATACGAATCTCGAACATTTGTCTGAAACCCGTCCTGCACTGACGTCATCACATTATCAAAACCTGCTTCAAGTTCTTCATTTCGACAAAAAAAAGGGCCAATAGAATTCTAATATCTGAATCGAAGGATGTCGTGGGTTCAAGAGAAAGAGAATATTTCGCGAAAACCTGCTCGTCAATCCCAAAATTAAGTTTCTCATTTCAGCTGAGAATACGATGACCGAAGAAGAGTACAAGAAACTGAGAAAGGAACTTGAAAGGTAAGGACTTTAATGACGCAATCTTATATTTGAGTTGCAGTGGAGATAGTTGATCTTTGAAATTCATTGTTATTTGCGAATCTTAACTATTTTCATGTAACAGTACAATTTTTCAGCGATTATTTGGCGCTATTCAAGAAAACGGTAGCCATGCACGAAATATACCTTCTGAGAATCGCAGCACACAATAAACTACGGGAGGACAGTAACTTCAGGGTGTTCTTGGAATATGCGAAAGATGTGAGTGAAGTTTATCGAACACTTTCGCTAAAAAATTGTTGAAAACAATCCTGACCTCGTTGCCTTCAACCTGAAGTGTCATTCTTAGCGATAACTTATTCATTAATGGGGGGGGGGGGGGGGGGGGGGGGGAGGGGGGCACGTCCGTCTATGCTATGTCTCCGCTTGTCTCATAGAATCCAAAAAGGACTGGACAGGACAGGACAGGACATAGGCGGACATTTGCGGACAAATGTGGACATTAGCGGAAAAAAATGGACAACAAGATTAGTTAAATTTTGTTAAATTTTGTTAAAATTTGTTAAAATTTGCTAATGAGGCAAACAATGTCGGCCAATGTCCGTCCGAGCCCACCAATGTCCGTCAATGTCCGCTAATGTCCCAAAAAACACGTATGTTGTCTCATAGAATCCAAAAAGGAGCGGAAATTGGCGGAGATGTCACCCCCTCCTTTAGTCCACTATCACGTGACCTAGTTCTAAACCCATTATAATACAATAATACCTCCGCTTTTGAGGGCTACGCGTGATAATTCCCGACAGCTTGCTGGAGGGAATTTGCGGCCTGAAGAAGCGAAGGTATTATTTGTTATTATATATAACTATTGACGGTGGCTCGTTTAAGATGTGTAATATGATGCGTGCGCATGATACAATATAGTGTGTAATATATAGTGCGCCACTGTAATTTGTTTTGTAACTTCCCGCCAGCCAGTCTGAAATGACTCGCAGTATTTGCTGATAATACCTTCGGTTCCTTGCGGGAACAATCTGCAAATTATCAGCTCTCAGTATCGACGAGTTTTAGTGCATATAATTCCCGGAAATACAGCTATAAATATGTAGTTATAACATCACTATATTATAGTGATGTTTTCGACACTCAAAATGTAACTAATAAAATTTCGCATGATCTCTGAAGTCTAACCTATTTGATATTTCAAATGTTTCTAGCTACCCTACAAAATATGGAGCTTGTAATGGCAGTAAAGGTGTAAAGATTGCGTGTATCGATTTATAAAATGTATACATACATTTTTTAATCGATATTCGTTGATTGTAATTCGAAGCAATATTTAATGTTTATACATGTATTATATTAATACAGTTTTCAACAACAAATAGTCAAAAATCAACATTTATGCGAAAATCTTTCTAAAGCATTTAATATCTTAATTGTATTTCATTCCTCTCCTAAGAGTCTTCTAAAAAAATTTAAATCATGTAAATTATATAAACAAATATCTCGGTCTTATTATGATGTACTATTTAATGGAATCATACTTTTTATATTATTTCAAAACAACAAATTAAGAAAATCACAGATTAGTAGAGGTATCAGGAATAATATCTGGGCAATTTTCAATGTCCAAACGGGGATTATGAGCATTCAAGTTTCTCATAGCCAACCCCACATTGCTTTCCTGCGGTCTATTGTTCTGTGATCCAGTATCATTTAGTCCACTATCACGTGACCTAGTTCTAAACCATCCTACCATAGTCTTGCAAGTTTCTGATACATGTCGTCTCATATCTTCTTTTCGTGTCAGATAGATAATGGGGTTTACTGCTAAATTAGCGCAGACCATTATGTTCCATGTGATGTAATAGAACACGTCCACCAAGTTATCAGTTGTTTCGTCAAGATCAATTATCCCGAAAATATAAACGAATAATTCTAACACAGAATAAAAGATGAATGATAAATCAAAAAGGCAAAATGTTGTTGACAAGATAAGTATGGTCACCGTTGCATGCCGATTACTATCAGATATTGTGCCTTGAATCTTGCTATTCATCAAACGATATGCTGTAATCATGGTCGAGATGAAAACTATGAATACATTTGAAAAGATCGTCGAGATAATTGCCAACGGAATGTAATATATGGCATATACACATAATTTATATTCTCTTAAATGTAACAAATTACACCAGCGTAAGACAGTTTGTAATGCCGTCTCACAAAGACAATAGAGAAAGAAACTTGCTGCAACCCAAGATCCTCTTATGGAGAAAAAAGGTTGAACAACTTTGATTGCTCTGGTTACGCTTATAAGACATGTTGCAAATACTGTGCAATTAAAGAAAATTAGGAAAATACCTTGAGTAACTATCTGAATATATAAAGAACATGATTGTGATAATGCACGAGGCAAATACATCGCACATACCAGCAAATCACATACATTAAGTAACATCAGCAGTTTATCTCCCAACCCTTTATTTTGTTTTGTGATGAAGTAGGAGAGCGACAAACAGTTTACAATAATCCCAACAAAGCTTATGACACTGGCAGTTACTGTTAGTGGAATCATCCAAGGTTGATTCATAGCCATATTATCCTGGGAAATGTTTGGTCACGGTGATGTTTTAGACACTTATAATGTAACTAATCAAATTTCACATGATCTCTGAAGTCTATCATATTTCAAATATTTCTAGTTGCACTATAAAATATGGAGCTTGTAATGGCAGTAAAGAGTGCGTGTATCGATTTATAAAATGTATATACATACATTTTTTAATCGATATTAGTTGATTGTAATTCAAAGCAATGTTTAAAGTTTATACGTGTATATTAATATAGTTTTCAACAACAAATAGTCAAAAATCAACATTTATGCGAAAAATCTTTCTTAAACATTTAATATTTTAATTGTATTTCATTCCTCTCCAAAGAGTCTTCTAAAAAAATTTAAATCATGTAAATTATTTAAATAGATATCTCGGTCTTTAAATTTTGATGTACTATTTAATGGAATCATACGTTTTATATTACTTCAAAACAACAAATTAAGAAAATCACAGATTAGTAGAGGTATCAGGAATAATATCTGGGCAATTTTCAATGTCCAAACGGGGATTATGAGCATTCAAGTTTCTCATGGCCAACCCCACATTGCTTTCCTGCGGTCTATTGTTCTGTGATCCAGTATCATTTAGTCCACTATCACGTGACCTAGTTCTAAACCATCCCACCATAGTCCTGCAAGTTTCTGATACATGTCGTCTCATATCTTCTTTTCGTGTCAGATAGATAATGGGGTTTACTGCTGAATTAGCGCCGACCATTACGTTCCATGTGATGTTATAGAACACGACCATCAAGTTATCAGTTGTTTCGCTACTATCAAGTATCCCGAAATAAACGAATAATTCTAACACAAAAGTAAAGATGACTGATAAATTAAGAAGGCAAAATGTTGTTGACAAGATAAGTATGGTCACCGTTGCATGCCGATTACTATCAGATGTTGTGCCTTGAATCTTGCTATTCATCAAACGATATGTTGTAATCATGGTCGAGATGAACACTGTGATTACATTCAAAATGATCGTCAAGTGAATTCCCATCGCAATGTAATATATGGCATTTACATACTTATTATATACTTTATATCCTCCTACAAATAACAAATAATACCAGCAATAGACAGTTTTTAATGCCGTCTCACAAAGACAATAGAGAAAGAAACTTGCTGCAACCCAAGATCCCCTTATGGAGAAAAAAGGTCGAACAACTTTGATTGCTCTGGTTACGCTCATAAGACATGTTGCAAATACTGTGCAATGAAAAAATATTTCGAAAATACTTTGAGTAATTATCTGATTATATATAGAATATAATGGTGATAATGCACGAGGGAAATACATCGCACATACCAGCAAATCACATACATTAAGTAACATCAGTAGTTTATCTCCCAACCCTTTATTTTGTTTTCTGATGAAGTAGGAGAGCGACAAACAGTTTACAATAATCCCAACAAAGCTTATGACACTGGCAGTTACTATTAGTAGAATCATCCAAGGTTCCATAGCCATATTATCCTGGGAAATGTTTGGTCACAGTGATTTTTTCGACACTTATAATGTAACTAATCAAAGTCCACATAATCTCTGAATACATACATTTTTTAATCAATATTCGTTGATTGTAATTCAAAGCAATATTTAAAGTTTATATATGTATATTGTATAGGGGGGGGGGGGGGGGGGTCCAAGGGGAACTTTGGGAAAGTCCCCCAAGATTTCTGAAGTTACCCAAAACTCCCCAAAATTTCCCAAAATTATTCAAAATTTCTCTAATATACATTAATACCCATTAACATGTATGTTATTATAAGGTATTGAATCTTAACTTACTTGTTGATACTTGCAGCATGATAATTTTTTTGGCATGATAATTTTTTTGGGGAACTTTGGGAAAGTCCCCCAGGAATCCTGAAGTTCCCAAAAAAAAGTTCCCCAAAATTCCCCAAAGTTCCCCTTAGACCCCCCCCCCCTGTATATTAATACAGTTTTCAACAACAAATATAATATATTATATTATAATATATAATAGTCAAAAATCAACATTTATGCGAAAAATCTTTCTAAAACATTTAATATTTTAATTGTATTTCGTTCCTCTCCAAAGGGTCTTCTAAAATAATTTAAATCATGTAAATTATTTAAATAAATATCTCGGTCTTTAAATTATGATGTATTTAATGGAATCATACTTTTTATATTAATTCAAAACAACAAATTAAGAAAATCGCAGATTAGTAGAGGCATCAGGAATAATATCTGGGCAATTTTCAATGTCCAAACGGGGATTATGAGCATTCAAGTTTCTCATGGCCAACCCCACATTGCTTTCCTGCGGTCTATTGTTCTGTGATCCAGTATCATTTAGTCCACTATCACGTGACATAGTTCTAAACCATCCCACCATAGTCCTGCAAGTTTCTGATACATATTGTCTCATATCTTCTTTTCGTGTCAGATAGATAATGGGGTTTACTGCTGAATTAGCGCAGACTATTACGTTCCATGTGATGTAATAGAACACGATTATCAAGTTATTATATGTTGTTTCAAGTGTCCCGAAATTAACGAATAAAAAAAACACAAAATCAAAGATGAGTGATAAATTAAGAAGGCAAAATGTTGTTGACTAGATAAGTATGGTCACTGTTGCATGCCGATTACTTTCAGATATTGTGCCTTGAATCTTGCTATTCATCAAACGATATGCTGTAATCATGGTCGAGATGAACACGGTGATTACATTCAGAGTGATCGTCGAGTAAATTACCATCGTCATATAATATAGGGCATATACAAAACGATCGTTATATTCTCTTAAAATAACAAAAAATACCAGCAATAGACAGTTTGTAATGCCGTCTCACAAAGACAATAGAGAAAGAAACTTGCTGCAACCCAAGATCCCCTTATGGAGAAAAAAGGTCGAACAACTTTGATTGCTCTGGTTACGCTTATAAGACATGTTGCAAATACTGTGCAATGAAAAAATATATCGAAAATACTTTGAGTAATTATCTGATTATATAAAGAATATAATGGTGATAATGCACGAGGCATATACATCGCACATACCAGCAAATCACATACATTAAGTAACATCAGCAGTTTATCTCCCAACCCTTTATTTTGTTTTCTGATGAAGTAGGAGAGCGACAAACAGTTTACAATAATCCCAACAAAGCTTATGACACTGGCAGTTACTGTTAGTAGAATTATCCAAGGTTGATTCGTAGCCATATTATCCTGGGAAATGTTTGGTCACGGTGATGTTATCGACACTTATTAATGTAACTAATCAAATTTCACATAATCTCTGAAGTCTAACATATTTCAAATATTTCTAGTTTCCCTACGAAATATAGGGCTTGTAATGAAAATAAAGAGTGCCTGGCCGGTAACGGTACAAAAAATAAATACTTTGATCGAAAAAAGCTCGAACAGTCGATAATCGATCATTTATCAATTTTGTCTGTTCCATCTGCATCATGGCCATCAAGTGGGTCTTACAGTACAAAGAGTTTGTTAGAATTATAAAGGCGTAGTTGAGAACTTTCAAAAGGTATTATTTGCCAGAGAAGAATGACATGTTCTTGCATCTGGTCCATGTGCTCAATTTGTCTGAGATTTGGACTTTATAATCCGTAATTAGGTCTCGAGAGGAGATCTAATGATAATGTGGAACGAGCCCATGAAAAATGAAATCTATGGATATCATGCTAAAAACTTGTCTCTCTAAATTAACAGAAGAGAGGGGGGGGGGGTTTCACCCTGATTTTTTTGTAAAACTTGGTTTCGAGAAAGCAGTTGACCAAAAAACTAGGACCGGTGACCGAACTTTTGAGGGGGTCTCGGACCCCAACCGCCAAACGGTGCCCGCGGGGCAGCCAGTGCCACGCCCATATTTTGTCCAAATTAGGCATAATTTAGCCAAATACCCTGAACATGCCCAAAACCCAGATTTTAGGTGTTTTACTTGTAGCTAGTGGTCCCCTGAACTCGTATATGATTTTCATCAAGATTGGACAAAAAATGACTGAGTTATGAGCCAAAAACCACAATACCATATTTGGGCATACGCACCAAATTTGATCGATTTTGGCCCATAAATTGGTCAAATATCAATATTTTTGAATGAAACCAACTTTATATGGAAGGTAAGTCTATACTACACATTCTTTATGATTATCAGCTCAGTATCTACCTAACTGTGGATTCGTGTTCAAATAATCGCAAAATGCCCGGCAAATGTTTTTAAAGGCCTCACTCAAAATTCCACTACAAAACTTAAGGTCAAAATGCGATTCTACGCTGATTCTGAAAATTTCATGTAAAAATATTGAAACTCTATTGAGTTCTATTGTTTTGAGCGAAATCAGTGTTTGCAAATATCGCGAACTGAGATGTGGGTGATTTTGTTCATTAACGTCTCGAGTGTACCATTTTGCTACTCATACCTTCATACAATGTATATTATATATATTATACATTGTATAATGTCCATTAGGATAACGTTACGGAATGTATGTACGCTCTCACTTTGAACTTTGTTAACCAAATCACTCAACGACTGTTCAATTATGTGTCTTGATTAATGGTATATATTTAGAAATAATGAAGTCATTGTTCCAGAATCAGTTTCAATCTAATAGATAAATATAATAATCGAAAACACAATTAGGAAAATTATCTCGGCTTCTGATTGAGCCAGGTGCCTCGTTTCAGGCATTAACATGTTCAAAATCATCATATTGAGTAGGGTAGAGCATAATTTCAAAGTCCTCCGACGTCAGGTAGTTAGTTAATGAGTGAGTTATTAAGCAAAAACCTATTTTTACGCTCTCGCGAGTAGTGATTGCGGACTTTTCGAAGTCCGCGCCTACCCCTCGATACACAATTTTGGACTCGAAGTTTCCCCCTGGTAATGCGATCTCGGAAGGCAGGCCTCCCCTTTGCAACACGAGCTCGGAATCGGCAGCTCTCGATACGGGAGGTACGTATCGAGAATGACTCTGTCAAAAAATGTTTCAAAGTTTTTCTGAAAACCACTTTTATCCATGTTTCATGGTACCCTGTTCATTATTAGCCGAAAATATTTTCCAAATCATGTGAAAAATTCTCATAATGTTTGTCCGTTAATGTCCGTCCGAGCCCACCAATGTCCGTCAATGTTTCGCTAATGTCCCCAAAAACTCGTACGTTGTCCCCCCCTCCATTAATTAATCTCAAAGTACAATGTTTGAAACAATCCCACTTCAGCTTAAAGTGCGCTCAAAGAACAAGAAGGAGATAATCGGTGGATTCTTCAAAAGCATGACAAAGAATGTGGACGAGGCTCTACTTTCCGGACAAAAAGACAAAGACGAGTTTTTCATCGAGAGGAGGACGTTTCTCGAGGACTACCATCTGAGAATCAAGGAAACTACCAAAAAGAGTGAATCTCTTTCTGCTTCTACTAACGGGCTCAGTTTCGATTATATGCAGGTATGATTTGTCATATTTTGTGTTTCTTTGCTGATCTTAATTTCCTTAGCACGTTTACTGTTTAGCTGTAACATGATAACGTCTCGAGTGTACCATTTTGCTACTCATAGCTTCATACAATGTATAATGTCCATTACAGTAATGTTACGGAATGTATGTACGCTCTCACTTTGAACTTTGTTAACCAAACCACTCAACGACTGTTCAATTATGTGTCTTGATTAATGGTATATATTTAGAAATAATGAAGTCATTGATCCAGAATCAGTTTCAATCTAATAGATAAATATAATAATCATTATCGAGAACACAATTAGGAAAATTATAGAATCTTCAAACATTGTTCCGTGTTGGCTATAGGGATATATGTTGTTAAAATAGCTTCTTCTTTGTAGACTTATCATATCTTCAGGATGTTTATCGTTAACTACTTCAGATTTGTGTAAAATTTGATAATCATAATAGCTGAGAGAAACATCGTCTGCAGTGAGATGACATAAAGTCTTTGCGTTGTATTTCGTTATACCATTTCAATTCCAGAGTTCATGGAACAAGTAGAGTTGGTTTGATCAGAAACAAATATTGGTCCGATAACTAAGAAATCAAAAATGAAGCAAACTGTTATCTCCCGTCCAATGGCGTCCATGTTTTCTTTTGCATTCTCCTAATAATTTGTTAGTCACATTCCTCGTCTGATAACATCTGTAAATCCTGCAACGAGTTTATTTCTTGTTCTTTATCCTCAGAACGTTCGTCGACAAGTTTTCTTTTCTTCGGTGCCTCGTGGATCTTCTTTACGTGATTTGTGAGATGTTTCTTCTGTCGAGCACTGTACTCACAGTACTCACATGGGAATGGTCTTTTGCCAGAGTGAGTGAGTTTGTGGTTCTTCAATCCTGATTTAGTTTTTGAAGCATGATCACATTCATTACAAACCCATGGCCTTTCTGCAGTATGTACTCTTTCGTGCAATTTCAGGTTGCTTTTGGATTTTGACCTGAAGTCGCATTTGTCGCACTCGAATAGTTTTTCTTGCGAACCTTCGTGGATATTCTCAATATGTCGGATGAGTGTACTTTTGGTTCGAGCACTGTAATCGCAGTGTTTACATTTGAACGGCCTTCCGTTTTTGTTTGAATGCCTAGTAGCTGCATGTGCATTTAGATTCTTCTTCGAAGTTGCTTTATAGTCACATTTGGGGCATTCAAAGGGTTTTTTGTCAGAGTGAGTTAGTTTGTGAGTCTTCAGCTGAAAAAGAGTCTTTGAGGCGTGATCACACTCATCGCAATTCCAATTTCTTTCACTGGTATGAGACAACTTGTGAATTTTCAAATTAGATTTCAATTTGGTTCGGTATTCGCATTTATCACACTCATGTTGACGAACATCGCTGTGGGTTAGTTTATGACTCTCCACAGCTCCTTTAGTGGCTGATCTGTAGTCACATTCCTCACATTCATATGGCTTCTCCCCTGTGTGAGTTCGTCTATGCTGGGTCAGGTGACTGCTCTGGGTCGTTGAATAATCACACAAATCACACTTGTAAGGCCGTTCACCTGTGTGAGTACGTTTATGCGATGTCAAGCCTTGTCTTTGTGTTGCAGCATAATCACACAGATCACATTTAAAGTGTCGTTCTATAGAATGGGTGAGCTCGTGGCTTCTCAAGTTGTCAACTCTGTTGGTCGAATAATCACATTTTTCACAATGAATAGGTTTCTTTCCGGTATGCGTAACCATATGTTGTTTAAGATGAGCCGACTGTTTTGCTGAGTAATCACACAAGTCACACTTAAAGGGTCGCTCACCAGTGTGAGTGAGTCTGTGTGATCCTAATGTAGATTTGTATGCAGAGGCATAGTCACACAAATCACACTTGTAACGCCTATCAGCTGCTGAGTGAGACAGCATATGTACTTTCAACTGAGATTTCTGGACGGCGTGATAGTCACACTTTTCGCACTCATAAGGTCTCTCTCCAGTGTGAGTGCGAATGTGAGCTTCTAGGTGAGGTTTGTATTTAGCTCGGTAATCGCAATGATTACATTCGAATGGTTTGTCTTGATGTTCTTCATTAGTTAAGATCTGTGTCTTCAGATCGCCGACCATCTTGGTACCGCTGTTACTTGATTTATCGATGTTGTTATATCTTCGTAACTAACTTCATTTACATCAGGTATCTGAATGGTAGAAATCAGGCTATTAGTTAAATGCAGATTGCAGAATCTTACAAGTTACAATCTTTAACCATTTAAAAGCCAAGCTAATTTAGTTCACATTTAGTATGAGATTCGTGGGTACGGTTCCCGTTGCACATCGGATTTAGTTAAGTCGACTTATTATCCCGGCCATAAAATTAAAAAGAAACAAATAAATTTGTCTCAGATTTAATGGGGATAAACAAACAAATGAAAGAATGAAAGTAACAGAAATTAGAACGATCTCAACTAGGATGACGCGTAATACGATGAAAGATACTCAACAAAGATTACCAGTGTTTAGTTTCAACGGGTGGCCGACAACTGAACCCAATTGAACATAATTCCCACTTACCAATCAGCTTAATTGGTTAGGGTTAGGGTTAGGGTTAGGGTTGAGGTTAGGGTCAGGGTCAGGGTTAGGGTTAGGGTAAGGGTTAGACTTTAGAGTTAGGGTTAATCTAAATGTCTTAATTGGGTTCAGTTGTCCGGTAGCAGTTTCAATACTGTCGCCCATATGACTACACAATTAATAACAAAATCAATATATCAATTATTATCGTATTAAGTTGTGTACTGTTGTACTCTGTAATCGGGATCTCGAGAATCGAGGGGTACTCGAGAGGCAACTCGATTCAATTGAAGTAATACACGAGTTAGGTGGGTGGCTCGAAAGGTTTAAATCACGGACATTGTATTATATTGTATTAATATATAATAATGATTAATATAATATAAAGGCGCTTTTACAAAACCGTTGCGTATGACTATGAGAAGTTTCTACGAAAAACCAATTAGATGTGAGACCACGGACCACGGACGGCTATGGGGGGTGAATGAAGTGTCATGTGATTTTTAAATGATTTGTGATTGGTTGTTGTTAGGCTAGACGTGTTAACTGTGTGGCAACTGGGTCAAATTGGGTTCTAATTTGATATTCCTAGCTAGGTCAGTTAAATTGTTCCCTGATGAAAGTAACTTTAGACCTGGTCCCAATTCGGTCCTCTGGGAAGTTACTAATATTTAAGTAATAAGTATATCACTACACACTATATCAAAGTCTTCCTAGGTTGACTTATGCTGCACTCAGTTCCTTTGGCGTGCCAATGGCAATGTACCCTCATCAATATATCATAACATATTTAAAACTAATTACAACACTACAAATCTATTACATTTATTGAGTATTATGTATCGTGATGGAAATATTTTAAGCGGGTAATATCCTGTCCAAACCCAGAATACATAACATGAAGACTTTGTTGTAACTTGTATGAAAAGCATTAATATACAATATACATTTGTAACAAGTAATATCATTATTATTTTCCACAACCACCAATACAATCCATCTGCTCGCCACAGTATCAATTAGCGACAAAATCTACCGTGTACAAATATTCTACTTAAGATAACGTATACTCAATATTAGTAGTGACTAACTAGCTCCCTCCCTCAGGTAGCAGGTTGTCTAGCCCTCCTCTCCAATATTACGATAAGTAGTGACTAACTAGCTCCCCCCCTCAGGTAGCAGGTTGTCTAGCCCTCCTCTCCAATATTACGATGAGTAGTGACTAACTAGCTCCCTCCCTCAGGTAGCAGGTTGTCTAGCCCTCCTCTCCAATATTACGATGAGTAGTGACTAACTAGCTCCCTCCCTCAGGTAGCAGGTTGTCTAGCCCTCCTCTCCAATATTACGATGAGTAGTGACTAACTAGCTCCCTCCCTCAGGTAGCAGGTTGTCTAGCCCTCCTCTCCAATATTACGATGAGTAGTGACTAACTAGCTCCCTCCCTCAGGTAGCAGGTTGTCTAGCCCTCCTCTCCAATATTACGATGAGTAGTGACTAACTAGCTCCCTCCCTCAGGTAGCAGGTTGTCTAGCCCTCCTCTCCAATATTACGATAAGTAGTGACTAACTAGCTCCCTCCCTCAGGTAGCTGGTTGTCTAGCCCTCCTCTCCAATATTACGATGAGTAGTGACTAACTAGCTCCCTCCCTCAGGTAGCAGGTTGTCTAGCCCTCCTCTCCAATATTACGATGAGTAGTGACTAACTAGCTCCCTCCCTCAGGTAGCAGGTTGTCTAGCCCTCCTCTCCAATATTAAGATGAGTAGTGACTAACTAGCTCCCTCCCTCAGGTAGCAGGTTGTCTAGCCCTCCTCTCCAATATTACGATGAGTAGTGACTAACTAGCTCCCTCCCTCAGGTAGCAGGTTGTCTAGCCCTCCTCTCCAATATTAAGATAAGTAGTGACTAACTAGCTCCCTCCCTCAGGTAGCAGGTTGTCTAGCCCTCCTCTCCAATATTACGATGAGTGGTGACTAACTAGCTCCCTCCCTCAGGTAGCAGGTTGTCTAGCCCTCCTCTCCAATATTAAGATAAGTAGTAACTAACTAGCTCCCTCCCTCAGGTAGCAGGTTGTCTAGCCCTCCTCTCCAATATTAAGATAAGTAGTAACTAACTAGCTCCCTCCCTCAGGTAGCAGGTTGTCTAGCCCTCCTCTCCAATATTACGATAAGTAGTGACTAACTAGCTCCCTCCCTCAGGTAGCAGGTTGTCTAGCCCTCCTCTCCAATATTACGATAAGTAGTGACTAACTAGCTCCCTCCCTCAGGTAGCAGGTTGTCTAGCCCTCCTCTCCAATATTACGATGAGTAGTGACTAACTAGCTCCCTCCCTCAGGTAGCAGGTTGTCTAGCCCTCCTCTCCAATATTACGATAAGTAGTGACTAACTAGCTCCCTCCCTCAGGTAGCAGGTTGTCTAGCCCTCCTCTCCAATATTACGATAAGTAGTGACTAACTAGCTCCCTCCCTCAGGTAGCAGGTTGTCTAGCCCTCCTCTCCAATATTACGATGAGTAGTGACTAACTAGCTCCCTCCCTCAGGTAGCAGGTTGTCTAGCCCTCCTCTCCAATATTACGATGAGTAGTGACTAACTAGCTCCCTCCCTCAGGTAGCAGGTTGTCTAGCCCTCCTCTCCAATATTACGATGAGTAGTGACTAACTAGCTCCCTCCCTCAGGTAGCAGGTTGTCTAGCCCTCCTCTCCAATATTACGATGAGTAGTGACTAACTAGCTCCCTCCCTCAGGTAGCAGGTTGTCTAGCCCTCCTCTCCAATATTACGATGAGTAGTGACTAACTAGCTCCCTCCCTCAGGTAGCAGGTTGTCTAGCCCTCCTCTCCAATATTACGATGAGTAGTGACTAACTAGCTCCCTCCCTCAGGTAGCAGGTTGTCTAGCCCTCCTCTCCAATATTACGATGAGTAGTGACTAACTAGCTCCCTCCCTCAGGTAGCAGGTTGTCTAGCCCTCCTCTCCAATATTACGATGAGTAGTGACTAACTAGCTCCCTCCCTCAGGTAGCAGGTTGTCTAGCCCTCCTCTCCAATATTACGATAAGTAGTGACTAACTAGCTCCCTCCCTCAGGTAGCAGGTTGTCTAGCCCTCCTCTCCAATATTACGATGAGTAGTGACTAACTAGCTCCCTCCCTCAGGTAGCAGGTTGTCTAGCCCTCCTCTCCAATATTACGATGAGTAGTGACTAACTAGCTCCCTCCCTCAGGTAGCAGGTTGTCTAGCCCTCCTCTCCAATATTACGATGAGTAGTGACTAACTAGCTCCCTCCCTCAGGTAGCAGGTTGTCTAGCCCTCCTCTCCAATATTACGATGAGTAGTGACTAACTAGCTCCCTCCCTCAGGTAGCAGGTTGTCTAGCCCTCCTCTCCAATATTACGATAAGTAGTGACTAACTAGCTCCCTCCCTCAGGTAGCAGGTTGTCTAGCCCTCCTCTCCAATATTACGATGAGTAGTGACTAACTAGCTCCCTCCCTCAGGTAGCAGGTTGTCTAGCCCTCCTCTCCAATATTACGATGAGTAGTGACTAACTAGCTCCCTCCCTCAGGTAGCAGGTTGTCTAGCCCTCCTCTCCAATATTACGATAAGTAGTGACTAACTAGCTCCCTCCCTCAGGTAGCAGGTTGTCTAGCCCTCCTCTCCAATATTACGATGAGTAGTGACTAACTAGCTCCCTCCCTCAGGTAGCAGGTTGTCTAGCCCTCCTCTCCAATATTACGATAAGTAGTGACTAACTAGCTCCCTCCCTCAGGTAGCAGGTTGTCTAGCCCTCCTCTCCAATATTACGATAAGTAGTGACTAACTAGCTCCCTCCCTCAGGTAGCAGGTTGTCTAGCCCTCCTCTCCAATATTACGATGAGTAGTGACTAACTAGCTCCCTCCCTCAGGTAGCAGGTTGTCTAGCCCTCCTCTCCAATATTACGATAAGTAGTGACTAACTAGCTCCCTCCCTCAGGTAGCAGGTTGTCTAGCCCTCCTCTCCAATATTACGATGAGTAGTGACTAACTAGCTCCCTCCCTCAGGTAGCAGGTTGTCTAGCCCTCCTCTCCAATATTACGATGAGTAGTGACTAACTAGCTCCCTCCCTCAGGTAGCAGGTTGTCTAGCCCTCCTCTCCAATATTACGATGAGTAGTGACTAACTAGCTCCCTCCCTCAGGTAGCAGGTTGTCTAGCCCTCCTCTCCAATATTACGATGAGTAGTGACTAACTAGCTCCCTCCCTCAGGTAGCAGGTTGTCTAGCCCTCCTCTCCAATATTACGATAAGTAGTGACTAACTAGCTCCCTCCCTCAGGTAGCAGGTTGTCTAGCCCTCCTCTCCAATATTACGATAAGTAGTGACTAACTAGCTCCCTCCCTCAGGTAGCAGGTTGTCTAGCCCTCCTCTCCAATATTACGATGAGTAGTGACTAACTAGCTCCCTCCCTCAGGTAGCAGGTTGTCTAGCCCTCCTCTCCAATATTACGATAAGTAGTGACTAACTAGCTCCCTCCCTCAGGTAGCAGGTTGTCTAGCCCTCCTCTCCAATATTACGATAAGTAGTGACTAACTAGCTCCCTCCCTCAGGTAGCAGGTTGTCTAGCCCTCCTCTCCAATATTACGATGAGTAGTGACTAACTAGCTCCCTCCCTCAGGTAGCAGGTTGTCTAGCCCTCCTCTCCAATATTACGATGAGTAGTGACTAACTAGCTCCCTCCCTCAGGTAGCAGGTTGTCTAGCCCTCCTCTCCAATATTACGATGAGTAGTGACTAACTAGCTCCCTCCCTCAGGTAGCAGGTTGTCTAGCCCTCCTCTCCAATATTACGATGAGTAGGTGACTAACTAGCTCCCTCCCTCAGGTAGCAGGTTGTCTAGCCCTCCTCTCCAATATTACGATGAGTAGTGACTAACTAGCTCCCTCCCTCAGGTAGCAGGTTGTCTAGCCCTCCTCTCCAATATTACGATGAGTAGTGACTAACTAGCTCCCTCCCTCAGGTAGCAGGTTGTCTAGCCCTCCTCTCCAATATTACGATGAGTAGTGACTAACTAGCTGCCTCCCTCAGGTAGCAGGTTGTCTAGCCCTCCTCTCCAATATTACGATAAGTAGTGACTAACTAGCTCCCTCCCTCAGGTAGCAGGTTGTCTAGCCCTCCTCTCCAATATTACGATGAGTAGTGACTAACTAGCTCCCTCCCTCAGGTAGCAGGTTGTCTAGCCCTCCTCTCCACAAGGGACCCCTCTCTACAGCGCTTCATGGCTCAAAGTGCCATTACATTCGAGTCGCTCCAGAAACTACAAAAGAGAACAAGTACTGACGAAGATTTGAAACTGACGGATTTGTTCAAGTATTATCAAAGGGAAACTCAAGCTGCGAAGTCTTTACTTTACAGGTACGGAGATTAAGGCCAGAGGGGGGGGGGGGCGGGGGGGGTAAAAGTCGTTTATCCGGTTTTCACATATTTTATCAGAGCTGCTGGAGACGAACAAGAAGAAAAAAACCGGACCAAAATCTGACCTTGCATCGCGCCAAATATTGAGGTTTACCTGTAATTACATGTAAATTGTAAAACTTAAACTTAAACTGTAAAAAGTTCAAAAACCTTAACTCGAAAAGACTTGAAAAGATATACGCAAAAACGTTATGTTTGAGAATTTTGATTTTTGCCTTTGTTCTTGAAATATAAGGTTAACTTTACCCCAAATTCGATTTTTCAAAAAATGTTAACCTCATATTTCAAAGATGAAGGCAAAATTCTAAATTCTAAAACATTACGTTTTTGCGCAACAACCCAAGGAACAACTGTGCCAAGTTTCAGCTTCTGGGTGTGGCCAGTCTTCTCAAGTTAAGGATTTTGGTATGAAAAAACCGTTTCGAGTAAAACGAGTTTTAGTGTTTTTATTTCACTGCCAAAATCTCAAATTCTGCATTATTTTCCGTATTTATAATTTAGTAGCATCTCCATACAATTTTTGCGTTAAGGTGAGAAGATGTTTATTGAGATACTTTATATCGGGAAAATCAATATCATAAACCAAAATGTGTCTAAAAATGAGGTTAACTATCATGATATCTAATTGTAGTAGTAGTAAAAATATGATTGTTAACCTCGCTATAGACCATATTACACTTGGATTGGTTTATCAATACATTGTTGTACATGTAATAAAACATTTGCCCAGTATTACGATTAAGTTTTTGAGGTTAACATGTGATTGACTGGCCTATTGATTATTTAAATAATTTTTAATTGTATTACCGTGTAGTTAATAGTTGCTTTTCTTCAATAGTAAATTATTTCTATAAAATAGTTTTGTGTCCAATGCAATGTCAATGAGTCATGTAAGGCGCAATGAAACTACCGGACTACGATGTATAGTATGGGGACTAGCACCCCATGGCAACATTAAAATATATCGACTCTGTTACATCGTTTCCTGTTAAATGTTAATATAAAACTCCGTTACAAATTGAACTGGGATTTGGCAATACTACAACTTAGATAAATAAAATATGATAAAATAATGTATAACTAGACTTAAGTAGAAGTCTGAAAGAATACAGAAAACAAAATATTTTACTGCTTGAAAGCTTAATAATAAACTGTGAAAGAGTGGTCAACGTAAATAAAACTGTTCCGATACAACCAAAGAAATTTAAATAGCTTACGTAAAAGGTAAAAGGTATTATATAGAGGTTTCACTCTTTACAAACACTCAGTCCTTGAAGTTATTAGAATCGTTCCTTCATAAAGCAGATGACCACCAGCTCGACACACACTATCACTAAGGTGGTCACAACTGCTGTGTACGGATTCAGGAATGCAGCTAGAGAGGTCCCTAACATGCTCCCTATCATTCCACTAGCCATGGTTATGTTAATCCCCAGCTCCAGCCGTGACTTCCCGTAATAACCGTAATCGTATGCCAGTATAGCAACCTCTACAGCCTGTATAGAGTAACAAAACTTTGCGAGCCCTAACAGCATCACTGAAGCTATCAGGCCCGGATCTGCCAGAATAATACCGTAGCTCAAAGCTATTGTTGCTGTGACCGTAAATTGCAGGATCAGGAACTTTACTCGACTCCACAAGAAATACCCTATGAGTCTCCCTATCACGTTAGCACCATTCACTGCCACCAGTATTAGAAAATCGTTACCTTGCACTATTTCCTCATTTTCAAGAGAAAGACGTTTCTTGTAGCTTCTCATCAGCCATGGAAGAAGAATAATACATCCATATCCAACGCAAAGGTTAGAGAAGAAAAAGAGACTTGATTTTATGACCCTATTGGTAAAATTGAGGAGACTCAGTGGTTCTGTGCTGACTAGGCTGGCAGTTTCAGTCGGAACAATATTAATCTCCTCAACTGGCTCACTTTCTCCTCTCTCCGGCTTTTCAACGATGCAAAAGTGAAGCATGATGATTGGAGGGACAAAGAGTGGGATAGAAGTGAGCAGAACGAAAACTCTCCAGTTGACGAGGTCTAGAAGGAGCCACCCGAGCACTGAAACCCAAGCTCCACCGACTGGAGTAGCAAGACCTTCTGCTATAAAGGAACTTTGGGTAAGTACTTCTTTGGAGGAAAGGAGCTTGGCGAGGAATATGCCAATAGTACCATCGTTCAAACCAATACAGATACCGGTTAAGGCTCGTGAGAGAAGGAGGGTATAATAATTAGGAACCACCGCACACAGGATAGCGAACCCTATGGACAGATAGAGTGACAAAAGCAATGTGACTCTTTCCCCAAATCTTTCTGAAGTCCAGAGTGATACCAAGACTGCGATTGACCAAAACAAAAAGAGTATCACAGCTAGGATTCCCTCTTGAAAGTCCGATATACCGAGCTCAAACGAAACTTTCTGCGTGATGACTCCGGGGAGGTAAGCCTCGACACCGTCACCGATCTTTATCATTACCGCCAGTGAGACCATCAGGTAGTCCTGTTTAGTCCAAGAGTTGGATTGTGGAGATGTACCAGTGGAAGATGATTTCATGGTTACCGTGATTGCAGTTGCTGCTGCTCCTGATTTCATGGTTAGTTCCTTTTCGTCGGACATTTCCATGGGCTGCTTAATTATCCTATTAGTATTACTGAGTGAAATTAAAATCGTAAACCAAAATGAAATGTATTTACATTCTGAGTTACCTTATCGTACTGATCAACTCAAGGCTTACTCAAAACGTGAAAAATCGAAAATAAGTTCAAAGTTGAGTACTAAATTGTAAATGATATGGTTATTTAAGCATAGCTGTGGTCAACTTTACTACCGCCCTCATCAGATACAAATTTCAATTGTAAACTCTTAATAACTTTTATAGTAAATAATATTATTATGCACCAACTAATTATGTCCATTGACCATTCCATTGGTCTCGACGTGATGAGGGACATTCTACACTTATGATTATACTGATAGTTTGCGCAGGAATATTGAACAATTGAGTTGTGGGTTGGGAGCGTTCACATATTATGACGTCAGCAGCCGAGTGGAAAGAGCGGGTTTGGAAATGCTGAACGGGGGCCGTTTCTTGGAGTGAAATAACATCTTAAACTCAATTTTAGTAACCTTAATGTTGTTTAATTAATTTTGTAAGAATCGGTTAACCTCAATTATCAAAAAAAAGTTAAGCAGTTACATTTTTTTGAGCCTTAACCCCCTCTGGACTTAAATCCGGCGAAGTGTTACTTACTAAATCACGGTACCTAAAATCATATGCCGTATTTTTTGGCTAAATTTCATCTACAAATAATCTTGAAAGTGGCAGATGGAACATGATTTCACGGCTTGTGATGAACAGACTACTTTATTTATCCTATTTAAAGATGGTAACTGTGCTGGATATCATATAAATTACATACCTCTTATGGGGGGGGGGGGCCAATGGCATAAATGGAGAAAATGGAGAATTACTCATAGGTTTTTCCATTTTCTCCATAGAAATAGTCTCCATTTTATGCCATTTTATGCCATTTTATGCCATTGAAAACTTAAAAAATTAGAATTTCGAGAAAAATTATTTTAAAAAAAGATATTTTCGGCCAATAATGAACAGAGTATCATGAAACATGGAGAAAAGTGGTTTTCAGAAAAACTTTGAAAAATGTTGACTTAGAAAATGTTCGGTCCGAGTCATTTACGATACGTACCTCCCGTATCGAGAGCTCCCGATTCCCAGCTCGTGTTGCAAAGGGGAGGCCTGCCTTCCGAGATCGCATTACTTCGAGTCCAAAATTGTGTATCGAGGGGAAGGTGTGGACTTCGAAAAACCGAAAAAATATTTTCGGCAAATAATGAACAGAGTAGCATGAAACGTGGAGAAAAGCGGTTTTCAGAAAAAATTTGAAAAATGTTGACTTAGAAAATGTTCGGTCCGAGTCATTTTTGATACGTACCTCCCGTATCGAGAGCTCCCGATTCCGAGCTCGTGTTGCAAAGGGGAGGCCTGCCTTCCGAGATCGCATTACCTCGAGTCCAAAATTGTGTATCGAGGGGAAGGTGTGGACTTCGAAAAACCGATAAAATATTTTTGGCCAATAATGGACAGAGTAGCATGAAACGTGGAGAAAATTGTTTTTCAGAAAAACTTTGAAAAATTTTGACTTAGAAATTACCCCTCGGTACACAATTTTGGACTCGAGGCTTCCCCCTGGTAATGCGATCTCGGAAGCAGGCCTCCCCTTTGCAACACGAGCTCGGAATCGGGAGCTCTCGATACGAGAGGTACGTATCGAGAATGACTCGGGCCGAAAATTTTCTAAGTCAAAATTTTTTTTCTAAAAACCACTTTTCTCCACGTTTCATGCTACCTCCTTCATTATAAGCCGAAAATATTTTTTTGGTTTTTCGGTTTATCGAAGTCTGCACCTACCCCTCGATACACAAATTTGGACTCGAGGCTTCCCCCTGGTAATGCGATCTCGGAAGGCAGGCCTCCCCTTTACAGTGCGAGCTTGTTTCGACTGTCGAGGATGTAGGTCTCACTTCTCAGTGCCTATTACTCTCCCCTATTACTCACTCCTGCTGTAGCCTGTAGAAATAACTTTACACTAGGCTTGAGTTATTATGAGTTTGCCTGAAGTGTGCCTCTACTAACCTAGTATAAGCATCTAGTAGCCTACTATGAGCTTTCATAAGCTTGTTACGCCCCTAGTAAGCGTTTAAAATAAACATGTTCTAGGATGTCCAATTTAGGTGTTAAATGGTGTTAAAGATGAAATTTCGAAGACAAAATTCATGGCATAAAATGGAGAAAATGGAGAATTACTCATGGGTTTTTCCATTTTCTCCATAGAAAAAGTCTCCATTTTATGCCATTTTATGCCATTTTATGCCATTTTATGCCATTGGCCCCCCCCCCCCCTCTTATCTTAATACTATTCAGGAGAGGACGCGCGCTTGCTGACAAGGAAATAGCCGAGGGGAAACTGGAACAAGCACAGAAGAAATTTAAAGATATCCCCACAGCAGAGGCTTACGTTGAGGACTGTAAGATCAGATTTGAATCGATATCAGATATGGCTAAGACGGGTAAGGAATGCTATTTGAATTCTTGAAATTTCTGCTTGTTAATCGTCCTTAAATACCGTCAGTTTCAATCTATTCTCAAAAGAAATTAGCCCGGACTTGAATCACTGAAAAGGTCAGCCACAAATAATTATAGTGTTTACTTTTATTTTTATTGTGAGAGGCTTATCTGATCTAACTGAAAGTTATGATAATCAATGATAATTAATAAACAAATCCTCCTGTAGAACTGGATACGTTCAAGAATCGCCGACTGGAAACATACCGGAAACACCTGGTTGACATGTCAGAACTTCAAATTCGTCACTCTCAGTCCATTATCAGTGAGCTGACCAAGGGACTGGAATTATTAAAAGATTTTTAGAAAATTTGGTTTTAGTTTGCAAAAGCAGGACGTGTGATCCGGAAATTTTAAAACGATTTCTTATTTTGTGGTTAATCGGGATGATGATGATGATAATAATAATAGCGATTTGTCAATTTTGTGACGACAATAAAAATGTAAAGTGTTGTGCAATGTACATTATCAGAATGGCAAATTAAAATGTTTGATCTATCATTTTTACATATTGGGACCGTTCATTTGAGTCCTCAAGAGATTTCAACCTGCGTTAATTGATTCTAGTACATTTTTATGATTTTTAATTGGTAGAGTTACATAGAAGTGTGAACAATTTTCGTTTAACGTTATCTGAAATGGGCATGGGTTACTATTTTTGTTTCGATTTCTTGACTGACTCTATCTACATATTAGATTATTACCATTAAGAAACATAGCATAACATAGTTTATGGTTGAATTTTCATTTTTGTAATCCTACCAGGTAACTAAGTTATGATTTCCTCGTAAATGCAGAACGCAAAACAAACATACCCACAAAATCTTTCTATGTTTCAGTAAACAGGGTGGTAACACACATTCTTAAATAACACAGATGGGTATCAATTTCTAATTCCTCTTCCTAGGATAAATGTGATAAATCTCCTTCACAGTTCACATAATATGTGATTTTTACTTTTAACACTTAATGTTTCTTGTATCCGGTATTTGTTCTGCACCTCGTAGAAACCATTCAGGGACTGATTTTTTCATGCAGTCTTTAAAGTTTTAGTCTAAGAATCAAACGCACTAATGGATAATCGTTTTAGCAGTTATAATGTGTAATTTTCACTTTCAATATTTGTTCGAACTTTATACTTTCATTACTTTACCTGTTAGATATTCGGAAAATGAACTTTTTTATTTTATTACGGCGCAGATTATAAGTTTATTTCCTTAAAAAAGCAAACAATATCTTCAATTCAAAATTTGAAGTGCTGCCAAAGTGCTGTCGAACATAAATGCAGTCTCTGTACGGGATGGGCCTCAAAATACCGCTTTGGCTTCCAGTTTCAGTTTATGGTTGATTTATTTGAACGTGAATGGTTAAGAAAACGGATGATTAATACACAGTACTCAGGAAGCTGTCCGAAACTCGCAAAACTTAACAATGTCAAAACCACCGAATCTGCTGCCCAAATGCGACTAGGAAAAATCAATGGTAGCGAAGCCGAAAGTATGGCAGCTTACAGTTACAGAACGATCAAATTCTAGCGCTGATAAATCGAAGGGCCAAGTACGAATCAGCCCAATACTGATCGGAGCACAAAGTTTATGCATAAAATTCAATAAATAGTCAAACAAATTTCGATCTAATACCGATTAAGGGAGGTGAACAATTTCAGTCTGTAAAACCGTTTATTATGTCTATATAGCCTAGTACTACTACTGGAGTCAAGGACACGGGCGAATGGTAGCAACCCACAAAGTCATACTCATACGAGCAGCAAAACTGACAGTCAAACGTGGTGCCAAGAAACTTCAAAATTCTCAAATACAATTGAAAATTAACTTTCACACCGCCGCTAATTTATTCTTCGGCGTGGCGGTGTGAGCAAAAACACATCTTGTAAAAATTAACACTGAAATGCCGGAGATGGTCAAATAAAAAATTGTTTTCAAAAAGCAGGTATTACTGATGTGATGCTTTAAGCATGGACCCAGAAACCCTTACTGGATGGGACCTAACTTTGAAAGTAAAAGAGTTAGAGACTTCCGGTTTTTTGTAACATGTTCGTCTTGTAAAAGTAACGTTACCTCCCCAGGAGGAAAATTTAAGACAACGTAGTTGTTAAGTTATCTCAAAATCTCCAGAAAAGTCCCATTTTGGGCCGATCAAAAGTTTGCAACTTTAACTTTGCGGATTCCTGTACTCTGATTGGCTGAATCGTGTCACGTGCTAGCTGCTTGAACATTGGAATGCGCCGTACGCGTGCAAATCATATGCTTAATGTCGAGCGTGAGGTCAAGCCGTCTGTTTAATTTTAAATTAAACCAACTCTAGTAGTACTAGTAGTACCAACCCTAACCCTAACGTGAAATTAGACCAACTTCCTTAAATGGTCATATCACGTGATCGAAACAATTTTTCGCCAGGGGAGCATTTTAACCCTAGATTATATGGTCATGAGGGTGATTCGGAATCATCGTCCGAAAATACATTGATTTAAGTTGGTCTTAACTGTCCGGGGGGGCCCTTTTAGAAAAATCTCGAAGATCGACTGTAGACTGTAGAGTGATTTACAGATTTAGCACGCTCGAAAAATAATCATCTTTCATTGTATAGACAAAAAATTGTAGTTTTTGAAGGATTTGCTGATTAATTTTTGGATTCTTTCCTGCAGATACAGCGAAATAGTAACATTCAATTTGAACTGCTTATCATCGCACAACCAGGTAACAGCAATATCAGACAGTAAAATTTCTCCAAATCGGTGGTTTGCAGTGCAGTACTGGTACCAGGGCATATATCTGGAGATCCAACTATACGATTTTCTTGAAACTTTCCAGATAGTAAGAAAGCTTTAAAACGAATAATCTGTGCCAGTTTGGGTGAATTTCTATGTGCCAAATTTGAGATATCACTTCAAACACAAAAAAGTGCTGTCGGACAAGAGTCGCTGTCGGACAGAAGTCGTGTTACCACTTACCAGTATGTATTTATGTATTAGAGGATGATGTGATATGTACAACATGGAGCGGTGACGACTGACGGTGACAAGTAGTCACTGACACTAGTCAAGTGCAACATATGGATCGAATTACATACAGAAGTTCAGTTTATTGTTAGTACCGGTATATATTATGTTTATGAGAGAAGCACCTCAGGCCATCCCAACTTGTGGGAGAGACCTGCCCCTTGTATCTTGTTGTTGTATTCTAATCTAAGTAAACTATAGGTAAAAATATAATATTAATCATAAGCTAAAATGTACTAATCTTTGTATTCTAAATGGGGAAAAAGAAGAAACATTGTCAGTCAGTCGAGAAAATTGTCAGTCAGGCTATATGGCAGCTTTGTAGATGTTGTGACTATGCTAGTAGTGGTCCCAGGCTTGCGACTGGAATTGCGGTGTTAAATCGATTTAATGGTACCAACGATCCACCTCCCACTTGTTGTTTGGTACTTAGCATTAATAGTGTTAGCTGTAGCCGTTTATAGCAAGAATCTTAAAACTAAAGGGGATGACAAGGAAAAGAGGAAGGAAAAAGAATAACGGGACAAACAATTAATTAAAGTATTTATAGGAGCATTAGATATTGTAATTACAAGCTTCAATAATAAATCACTGACTAAAACTTCTAATTAAAATGACACTTGGTACGCTCGCCCATTTTCACTGGTCAGTCTGAACTTCGGTTTAGCACGTTGTACACTTATTCACCTAAGTTTCAGAATTTGTTCAGTTTAGCAGAGTTAGTACCCGTGTTTCAATAAATCAAAAGATATCAGGGGAGTTCTTTAATAATGTTACGGTCATCTAGAATACCGAACTTCCTGAAAACGTTATCATATTTCCTCAGACAACGTTTAATGCCTTTAATCAGTCTATCACGGCTATATCCTCTATCAATTAGAATTTTGAATATTTTGTGAAGATGGGAGGTAAAGATATCCAATCTAGTGCAAACATTACCATATCTAAGAACTTGACTTGAAAAAACGTTGTAGCCAACCTCGGTTGGGATGTTACTGTGAGGAAATGTAAGGGATACAACATGAAAATTAAAATCATCAGTTTTGTTATACACTGATATTTCTAGTCCTTCTGTGGAAATATTAATATTTAAATCAAGGTAGTTAATGATTTTATTATTGGAACCAGCTCGCTCCATCTCCAATGAATTAGGATAAATATCTTTAATCAATTTATGAAAGTAAAGGTAGTTAATAATAGATAAATCGTCAACATATCGTTTATTATTGGATAATATCTTTGCTAATCCCATTTTCTTTTCCTGAAGTAAACGTTTCATATAATTAAATTCCTTTTTGCCAACAGTGAGATCAGCTATAGGGGAACTTGAATTTCCACCCATAGGAATACCCTTGGTTTGTATGAATACAATCCCACCGAAGACGACATAAGTGTTATAAATAATAAATTTAACAGCCTCTTTTAGGTCATCTTGACTAAAGCAGGCATGACAATCATAGGTTTTATTGGAAAAGAAACATGTATTACTGTCTCTTTTAGAAATACAAATATATCTATTACGGTCTGAAAATATTAAATCAACAACTTCATTAATCATATTCTCTACTTCAATCAAGTCTAATCTGGTATAAAGAGTAGTAAAATCATATACTTGTATATTATAAACATCGCTATTTTTGATAGCTTCAAGGAATTCACTTGAGGAATCTATGCTCCAAAACATGTTTATACTGCTGTTGTTGTAGATTGCCTCGCAGTATTTCTTGAAGTATTTCCTCAAAAGTTTCAGACAACAGTTAACTTGGACGTTAAGTTGTTTCGTAACGCAAAAACGGGCACCTGCAATGAACCTCGCCTTGTAAGGATTCTTATGAAGCTTAGGGTTCCAGAAGATGCGTGCTAGTCGCAAGTTTTTATCTTCAACTTGTACATTAAATCTCTCCTTTAGACTCTCAGATATTTTATTGACATAATGAGTCTCGTCTTCGCTACAGGGTTTATATGTATCATTACCTATACATTCTAGAGTATTAGGATCAAAACCCATTTCATTGACAAGAGTTTTTACATAAAACTTTTTACAAATAAATGAAAAATTACCAGAAGCTTTGTCGATACTACAAATAATGTATTTACTTTTCAGCAATTTAAGACTTCTTTTAACATCATCTTTTTCCAGTGTGTTTTCTTTTATTTCAAATGTTTCAGGAAAGTTTTTCTTGTAATATTCAATACGATTGGAAACTATTGATAACACTTTTTCCTTCCAATCGCTGAACTTTACTTCTTTTTGACAGTATTTTCTACTTTTTGATTTTATAAATTTATCGACAGCTTCGGTAACTGACATATATATCTCATCTGGAGATTTAAATGTGGGAATTCTGTATTTACAACCGTAGGAAAGTACTTCCCTAAGTTCAACATTATCAACAATATCTAAATTACCAGTAACTACATGTCCACGAGGAGGATAATTGAAAGGGGAGGAGTGACAATCGCATGGACTACCTAAAATAGATTTAATATCAGAAATAGAAAGTTTCTTTAAGAATGAAGCATAGTTACAAATAGAAAGACTTATAGGATCATTATACTCATAATAAATCTGTAATGGTGTAAAAGACTGAATCAAAATGGGAAGCAAATCAATGACTGAAGTGTCAGAGAAAATAGATTTTAGGTTAAGATTATCAATGAATTTGCAATTAAATGGAACAATTATAAATTCTCTATTACTGGATTCAGATTTGTTCTGATGGTATTTGGGGGAAAATGTTGAACAGAAAGAGGAACATACGTTGTAAATCAATCCTGAATTATTTTGACTCAAAGAGTAGAGAGTGTCTAAATCTGATAAGCTATAACATTTTAATGTTTTGTATATGGAATGTTCTGAAGAGATGTTATCTTTCAGCCTGTTAATATCAGACTCTATGGTATCCAGAGACTTCTTAGGCTGAACTTTCTTCTTTCCATTCCCTCTGCCACGTTTGTATCGAGCAATTTGTCCACTAAAATAATTCATAACCCGATCTTGGGAGATGTTGCCCGTTCCTTTCTTCTTGTCATTAAGACCAAGAGGGAATGCTGTCCCAAGCTTCTCTATCCAGTAATCCTCCAGGAGAAGTAAATCATTTTTGACATCGGTGGACATGTCAGAATCAACATAATCTACAATCTGTATGGAAG